TTTGTTTATGGAGCTTATGCAGAGGCCGTTGTTCAGTCAAGAATGCAGGCCACTCTGACGGAAGCTTTTATGATCCACCCATCAGTTGATCAAAAAGAACTGTGCATGAGTGCAGCAGGCAGCATATAAAAAAAAAAAGAAAAACTTTTCTTCCGTTGACAGGCAAGTCAGTACGGCCTGCCAAGTCGGAGCTGTCCATTTATTGAGTCTTACAAAAGATGAGGAAAAACAGAACGTAACAGTGAAATCAGATTGTGTGCTCGGCTAAAATTTACACCACGGGCCAGGAAATGGCAGGGCGGAGAGGTGGGATTTGGGGTCTTTTTAGGTCTTGAGTACATTTTTGACAACTTCATTTCATTTGGGAAGTAAAAAAAAAAATAAAAAATATCCCTCACAAGAAAAATTCTGGCCAAAAAAGATGCCCTTTGAACACAGTGTTTCCTCGAATGTGTTTACAGTGCTTACTTATGAAATGATACATTTGCAACTGCCATGTTTTATCCATCCATCCATCCATCCATCCATCCATTTTCATCCGCTTATCCGTTACCAGGTCGCGGGGGCAGCAGTCGCCACCCAAATCTCACAACATCGTAACAAACCACCCCTCGAACCTTCCTGCGTTTGGTGAGTCCACTAGAAGGTACCAACCGCCCTAACTGGGATTCGATCTTGTCCAGGAGGTGAACCCTGGGGTTCCACACCAATGACAGAGACATTGCCTCTGGGCCAAAGCGCCACATGTTCTATTTATTGCAAAACATTACTAGACCTTTTAACCTCCATTTCTTTTATGACATGTAACATGTAATTTCAAATATGACAGCCAAATGACAGATTATTATACGTAAACGATACCTCATGTGCCTACACACGTTCTATTTTTTTTAGTACCGTTTTTCCATTCCAGTTTTTAACAGAAGAGCACGTATCAGGCACAGCATTATGTCTATTTCTGTTCGTTGTCTTCAGCTTCAACAAAAAAAGGAAGAAAATCCAAGTATCTCAAAGCGAAGGTTACTGTGATGGAAATCTTAACAAAAAATTTTTTTTAATGTTTTGCGTGGTCCACAGTATAAGACACAAATGTAACAAAGTAATCTGACGAAAAAGATAACATGGATCTGTTCAGTGTTTCCCCACAGGATTTTTGGAGACTGTAGCAAGGCCGAGTGGGCGTGAATGAAGGTCGTTCAGTCAGGCCGCCACATTCTCGGTAATTAACCGTTAACACTGATCTGTATTTTTTTTTTATATATTTAGACAAGAAGCAACCATCACTTCCCTGGATTCCGTACCCTCACCTTTTACCTCCTCCATCCCACTACCCAACGTGGCTCCTCATGGACTGACTGCACAGATGAGAATACAGATGCTTAAGGTGCAAAAGACAAATTTAACTAGCGGGTGAAGAAAACCATATCTGACAAGCATCGTAAACTGCAATTACCGTCAAAAAAAAAAAAAAAAAAGCACAGTCTATGTCCCTTGTTTTAAAGAAACCCCCATCTTCCACATGACTCATGTGAGTGTGTTTCCGCACCTAGGAGTGCGTTCATGTGCGCCCACTTTTTGTACACACAGCATATTTCCTTGATGTTTGTGTTTACACGCCAGGTTTTCCCTTTGTGACTCACACTGACGTTGATTTATGCATAGGTTCGGTGTGTTTGCGAGTGTGTATCTGTTTGTGCTCGCGCGCGCACACACACATACACCAGCCGTAATTGGTATTCAAATCTCCTCCCACAAGTGCACCCGACTGCTGCTGTTTTTCAACTGCCATGCAGAGCCCGCAGCCAAAGTCCGAATAGAAAGATGGCAAACAAGCTTAAACGGATGACTCTCATTGCACACATTCAGCTAAACAAATGGTGGGTGATTTAATGTACACAGCGATAAGGCAGCTGTAATGGAGGCACGGGAGGGGAGAGGGTGGAGGTGGTGAAACATACGTGATGCAGGGATGTGCGGCGAGGATTATGGTCGGGGCGGCAGAGTTCACAGAGTCGTTTTTACTGTATGTAGAAGGTGTAGGCTGGCCCCCGCAGCTGACATGGATTAGCCACCCCCTCAAAGCCACGCACTGGGCACGTAAACACATTCAGTGTGTGAGTGCGGTGCGCGCGTGTCCCTCAGGCCTGCCTGTCAGACACACTATGAAGTCTTTCAGCCTTTCTTCTCTCCTTCTCCACTCGTCTTCCCTCCATCCTCCCTTTGCATTTCACATTCTCTCCATCTCTCCTCATTTGACAAAGGAGGGCATAGACTCCCGGGCTTGCCGTCAGTACAACATCCTCTTATTCTTATCTGTGAGCTCATCTGTCTTTTCTGGCAAATATATCTGTCCATCTTCCCATATAATTAACGCTGGTCTTTACTTTTTTTTGACACATTCTACACCGAACGTTTTGAAATCCAATTGGCAGACAAATAAGTTAAAAGACACTTAAACACGGGGTACGGCAAAAAAAAAAAAGTGGTACCCACTGTCACCGGTGGTCGTAGTCAGGGGTCCTCAGGGGTTGTGTACCAGTATCTGCTACTCCTGTATCACTGAAAATGCATACTCGTTATTTTCACACTGACGGCCGCTAGAGGGCACTCTAGCTGGCTGGTGTGACATGCTCTGGAGCAACATACATGTTTGTTTTTGTTCTTCTTCATTATGCATTTTTTTGGCTGTTGAGACATATACTTCGGAGCGACTTATAGTGCAGAAAATACAGTACACAAAACAAATTTGAAGTTACTGGAGGCAGTGGATAAAAAAATGTCTCACATGCAATAACATGAGAGATGAGACTAAGCAATTTACAGAAGCTCAGACACAAATGTCACTTTCCACATGGGTAAAGATTGTCTAAGACTAATATTGAGCAAATCTTTTCTGACAATATTATTACACGTGTTTTCTTATTTGATTCGCCAAGCCTTTTTCCAATATGACTGAGATCATTATTCCCTTCCATCAATTCCATTGAGCAGTCAGCAGGCACAAGGCCCCTTCATACAAAGCTTAATGTCAACACAGTTGTCACTGCCTTTATGTGCAATAGTCATACAAGCAAAAAATAAAATAAAACATGAAATACCCCTTTAATGCTTTCTCCCCCATCCACTCACTGCCTGCTACACTTCTCCACCCCTTGGCCCCTGTCAGTGGCTAGATTAATGACAGTGATCAGTGAGCAGCCAACAGCACAGGCCGCCTGCAGCTTAGGCAGAAACCAGGCGCTGTAGGCAAAAACCAGGAGCTCTGAGCGGCACACAAGGTAGCGCACGCGGACATCCACACACAGCCTACAAAACACGAGCATATTTTTTTAATAGGCCGACACTAAAAAACGTTTTTCTTTTCTACAGCACCTCAGGTTAACCAACATACGAACACCTACCACGACCATGAATACAAATGAACCATAGGAGGAAATCAATACAAAGGCCATCCTGAGGTTGGTGCCAGAGCAGCCAGGGGAATGATTATACACCAAAGAAACATTGTTTTTGCATTACAAAAAACAAAACAGAAAACAAAACAGCATCACCACAAAAAGGGTTTTGCATTACAAGAAAAAAAAAACAAAACAAAACAAAACAGCATCACCACAAAAAGGACACCACAGCAGAGCACAGGTCTGACTGTGACAACGTCCGACCTGCAGCAGCACTTAACCTGTTTCGTTGCGTAAGGACTATAAAAAAATATATAGCTGCAAACCTAACGACCGGTGAGGCAGCATCAATGAATGTTGTCTAATTATTTTTCATGGTTTGGTAAGAGTTATGGAAGCTTTGGAATTAATCAGTTGCAGAACTCCCCACACATGCATCACAAGCAGATTACAAACAGCACCGGAATGGTGTTAAGAGGTTCCATTTGGCAGCCGACTAATACTTCACAGGAAATCTAATTCAAATCTTCTATTGGACGTTTTTACACGCTGAATCGTAAAGCCAGGTACTTTCACTTTTAAAGCAAGTGCACGACATGCGAGGGCAAAATGCGGAATTCAATTCAGATAATGATCTGCAGATATTGGAAACATTACTGTATATGATTTAATACATCCTTCTATGATTCATATCTCTGCAAAACTCGAGTAAAATGAGATTTTTTTTTTTTGCAATTTTTGCAATTTTGCAAACAATTACTTAATTTGTGTGATGATAAATGGGTCCGCACTGTACTGATCAATGAGGGGTCGAGGTAAAGACAGGAGAAGCAGGTGAGGAAGTGCAGGTGCTGCTGTATTGGACGGCTTGATGTTATTGTATCTGATAAGGTGAAGTCTCAGAGGTGCGTTCACTCCTGTAGAATATGAAAACACTAGCAGACAGCACTGCTGACTCCTTACCACCGTGGGCATTCATTACGTGATCTCAGGCGGCTGTCAAATGCTCGGTACACACAGATGGGATCATGCGTGTGACCACTGACACAGGTCAGCTGGAGGGCGTGTAACGATTCAGCCGCGTTCACGCACTCACAAAATAAGTTTATCCTTTTTAATCTGGAACGTCTTTGATTCGAGTCTTCACTTGCCACCATACAGTCTATGTGATTTATTTTGTCAATGGGTCGTCCGCGCTGTGCGTGCAGGGGACTACTATTGCACAACAGCAGGATGTCCAAGCACTCTGCACAGGGATTGCATGGGGTTCTGACATTAAACAGAAGGACGGCGGTAAACACCAACAGCACTCCGGTGCAGGTCGTTTGTAAACTGAAATGTTTGCACGTGCTTTAATACTGTCCCGTGGCGCTCTCCTCCTCAACCTCCTTCACCGCCTCCTTCTACTTCTCCTGCCTCACCTCCTTACCTGACAGCTCGCACGCTTTTTTTTTCATTCAGTGTCAATTATGACGTTTTTGGCAAATGACTTAGAGCAAACTTGCACGACAAGCAACGACATTGCAGCAACGCGTCACACACACACACACACTTTCATGCAGTCTTACCGCGTCACACACACACACTTTCATGCAGTCTTACCGGTGCGCACCAGGCAGGCGACTGTGATGACGGCGAAAGGGACGCAGCACTTCCACACGGTCGCCAGAGCCATCGCTGCTGTCGCTGATATTCCCCCGCTCTGCTGTCTTTGCGTTCAGTTATTCCTCTTCCGTGCACAAATCACGGTGACGTGAACCTCCAGGTTCACTCTCCAACTGCTTCTCAGCGTCTGCGACTCCGTGTGTGTCCGTGTGCGTTGTGGCGGTGTTTCGGAGCGCTTCTGACGTCTCTCCCCCCCCTTTTCTCCCACACACACCCACTTTCTCTTGTGCCGTGTGTCGGAATATCAAGGCTTAGCCGGTTTTTCTTGGTTTCTTTACATTGTAAATGTATTCAAAAGCTTTGCCAGTGGGGCGGACCATTCTGCGTCGGTCTGACCAATGGCGGGAACGCGGAGCAGGTGGAGGGCTGGTGCTGATGTCAATAAGGGGCGGGACTTTCAAAAAGAAAGGAAAACAGAACGACAACGAGTGAGCAGATGAGGGGAAGGGTCCGCATCTCTCTTTTAATTGCGCTCAATTCACTCTAAACGTGATTGATAAGTAACATTAATTCACCCACGCGAGTAGGCAATTTATTTCCATTTCAGCTCCGTGAAGTCGAGAGGGTGTGAGTGTGTGGCGGGATGATTAAGACGAGGAAAATGAAGCAGATGTTTACATATAGAAGAGACAACAATGTCGCAATCACTCATTGTGTTCTGAAGTCGTTTGTGAAAGGTAATGGAAGAAAGGTGTGCAGATTAGTTTGTGCCTGGATGATGGCGCCTATTCACTTGCATGTTAATGAGCAGTGGTGTGTGGCACATTCCAATCAAGGTTAACAATGAATTCAAACTTAAAGTGCATTAGCATATCTTTTGTGAGTCCAAAGCATTTTTCTTTTCCGGAATAGTTTTTCCTTGTCCAAATGGTAATACAGGTGATGTGATTCCACTCCACATCATTGCTCTACAAGTTGCTTTAAGCCAGTGCATCTCAAGTAGTGGGGCGTGCCCCACAGAGGTGCACAGTGAGGTGTCACAGCTCACTAGATGGCAGCAGAGCAGGCCGCCTGTTCAACCTAGTAGAAGAAGAACTCATACTTCGGTCTGTACAAATAAATAAATAAATATTACCAGGCACTCAATAGTATTTCAATGGGATGGTGGGCATATGAAAATACTTCTATCCCCTAGGGGGCGGCATGGCAAAAAATAATCGAGAAACACTGCCCTAAGCATTTACATTTACGTTGCATTTCTGCATTTAGCCGACGCTTTTATCCAAAGCGACTTACAAAGGAGGATTAACATTATTAAGCATGTGGTTCCTCTGGGAATCAAACCCAGAACGTACTGCTTTCTGCTTCCTTTTCTAAACGCATCTCCGACTGGTTTTATATATAGTTTTTTTTAGCACTTTTTGTACCTCTGCCAATATTGTTCTGCTCACTAGGTATCTCTTCGAGACATGTCTTTATTGATGGTACTTGTCACTGCAGTTCTTGACACCTGAAAAGTTTTTGATTACTTTTTCATGCACTGTGAACACTATAGAACTTTTTTTTTACTACAGATTTTCTTGTTTTTCCATGACATTATTGAATAATAACAGCCCACATTCATATATGGTAAGTTAATATGACAGACTATTTTACTTATTATTTTTGATTGTCATTGTAGTCTGTGACATCACTGGCAACAAAATAAATTTTCAGGATCACGGCTGGACCCTGGACTCTTAACCACAAAAGACTCAACGAAAGAATATTACTAGAATTGTACTAATAGTAAGGTTTTAAATGAAGTTTTGACTTATCCTAAGGTAATCTTTATGTTTCAGATTTGATCATAACAAACAGAAGATCAGATTTGTGTCACAGCAGATCAAACATACTGTTCATTCAACAACTGGTCAGGCAATGTATAGAAAATTAAATTATCAGTAGAAACTGAAAATTTGTTCTTATTTGTTTAAATATAAGGTCACCTATTTTTAAAAATCAATCTTGGAAGTGGCTAAAATAAAAATTAAAAAATTATTTTAATAAAAAATCAAGTCAAAATCAAGTCAAAAACTGTCAAGCACAGCTATATTATAAATATACAATAAAAATAATGTAATATTACTTTTAATAATATATTCAAAATGCAAGTTTGTCGGAAATATATAAAATAAATAGAAGTTGACAAATTATATTGCACATACATTTGTGAACCTCGCCTTTTCTTTCATTTTATTTTTTAAAAATGAAAGGTTTTTAAAGGGGTTGTTGAACATTTGTTTTTAGTTTAAAAGATTTTTTTTTTTTTTGACATTTGTTTTTAGTTTAAACATTTTTTTTTAAAATGTGCTAGAAGCATCAGGAAAACCTGAACAGGCCTGAACATATTTAGTTAATTTGCTGCCGTAATGGCGTGGAGCATCAGGAAGACCTGAACAGGCCTGAACATATTCAGTTAATTTGCTGCCGTAATGGCGTGGAACAGAAACTCTGGTATTTCTGCTCATCTGTGTAACCCAATCACCTATTAGAACCTGGTTCTTCAAATTCACCCTCCTGCTGTAACCATAATTTCATCATAATTGTGTTTTCTCGATGCAAATCTCTTTTTTCCCCCCCAATCTCACCGTGCAGTATTTCACCCTGGACGTGTTCGACTCGGAGGCTTGAGAGCATGCTTTTAAACTGTATCTTTGGCGCCTCCGTTAGATATTAATTAGCAGAGCACGCCCTGGGTGTAAAATGTGTCTTTATGCTTCTGTATGATCTGCCACAGGCCTTTCAGACAGGCGGGTCAATTTACTTCAAGCTGTAAGAAAAGTCGAAACGGAGAGTGATTATTCTAATTAGTGATCATCTGTATTGACAATTTCTCCCTCCACCTCCGCAAACTTTCTTCGCCTTATGGTGGTATTCCACTTTTCACAGCATTTGGCTTTCATGTGAAATTATTAAGTCCCACACCTACTTTCAGTTTCTCTCCACATCCCTTTTTTTTTTTTTTACGTGTCAGCTCCTCTGTAAGTGTTAGTTCCACAATTGGCAGGGGGCCGGTGGCAGCATCTCGTATCAACACCAGATGGGGCATTGTCAGGAAGTAATGAGGGAAAACACCTGCTTCACCGGCAAACTTCGCCGCTTTATTTCCCAGCATTTGACACAACATTTGCAGTGTGAATGCACAAACCCAAGTGACCGTGACCAGAACAACGTTAGGTGATGTCACACAGGTGCAGACAAGATGTCGTCTATAAGTCACTGTGTGCCACGAGTCACAGGTTTGAAGCAGTTCGCACATTTCCACAGTGCACAGCTGCGATAAAATGCCAAACATTGGGTAAAAATATTTAGAATTCAAGTTTGAAAATAAAAAGGATTTGATGAGATGTAGATTGTTTTGCTTTTGAAATCCCAGAATGAGAGCGAGAATAATTCACTACAACAGCATCGTTTTTGTACATTAGCCCACAGCAAACAAAAAAAAAGAAGAAGAAAACACCTCTGCTATTTAACGCTAACTGTAACATATGCTTGAAAGTGAATGGTACTTAATGCATTCATTTCAAGTCCAGTACCGTAGATTTAAGTTAATTCCAAAACACTAGGGCAGAGACCATCCAATCATTTGGTAGCACAGAAAGAATAATGCATTTCTTTTTATTCACATTAACCTGCGTGGTATTTTATTTTGGAAAACTCCGTCCGCCTCCTCTATACAAATGACAACGTAATGATAATAAAAATTAAAGTTCATAACACAAAAAATAATTATATCTAAACTATAAATGTAATATTGTATGATAAAGTATGCACCTTATTGTGTTTTGTGTACTGTATCTACAGTATTTCTACAGTATCTACTCCAAGGTCCAAAAGTTTAACAGTCATTTTTAATCATGAAAACATTAACAATTGAGTTCATTTCTCATCCGAGAATGGGGAAATTTAAAAGTCTTTGCAGTCTGGGCTACACTATTGAACCACTAACTAAAAGATTTGGTAGAACATGTCACTTCCCTCTTTAAGTGTGTTTCTAAGTGTGTTTTGACTGCCTTTCTCTTAATAAAGTGCCTTTCCCAAGACGTGACTTCCTGACCATTGTTCCAGATTATTCCCTTCTTTCTCATTCATTATGTGACTACGGAATTTTCCAGATTTTTCCCTGATCTTCGGCTCATTGTCTACCCATACCTTCACTTGTTCCCAAGACGGATATATTAGATTTTGACCACTGCCAACTTGACCATTCTATTCAGAAATGACATTTATAAATACAACCTTTTGAACAGTTACCGTCTGTTAGCTGTGCATTTGTGTCTTCGCTCAGGTCTGGACCTTACTTTTCAATACGAGGATTTTCTTTTTTTTTTGCCCCCACTAAGTGGTGGTGTCTAATACTACCAGGAAAGGGAAGGTGAGCCATGGGTAGTGATTTTTCTGCAAAGTGAAAACCGAGGTCAGCACAGAGCTTATCAAGGATACCAGTTTATTTCATCAGTAGAGAGTCAGGTCTAGTAGCTGCGAGTGGCATTTTATTGAAAATGGCTCTGGTTAAACAAAGACAGGGACAATATGCTGCAAATCAAAGCCGGTAGGACAGAAAGACAAAAAAAAAACAAAATGATGTCCCATTGATTAAAGTGACACCATTTTGTTCTATCTATCTATCCATCCATCCATCTATTTATCTATCTATCTATCGCTGCAAAAAATAGTAAGTACATTTTTTACTGTGTCCCATGGCCTGGTACCAAATGAGCTACGGACTGACACTGGTCTCCGCACCAGGGGTTTGGACACCTCTTTAAAATGTAGTATAGGTATTAAATATGCTGATTCGCAAACTTCTCCATAGAAATAGAGTGATTAGTCGTTTAATTTATTTTATTGCAAACTATATGAGCTGGGACATGCTGAAATGTTTTAGTTTTAAAAGTAACATTCGCATTTTTGACAAATTAAATGCTGGTTTGTTTTTTTTTTGTTTTTTTTTGCATTGCTAATTTATTAATATTGGTCGCGACCAAATCATTTCGTGTCGTACCGAGAATTCTTAACTAATAACTAACTGGAGATTCTTTTCTCTCTTTTTTTCCTTCAATATTTTAGACATTTCCTGGTTCCTAGTCCAAGGTTTTTCTGTTTTCTTTCTACTCTGTGGCATTTTCACAGCTGTGACTGACATTTTCCTGCTCTGAATTCTCTCCACAATTCCGCAACACCCTGAGCATTTGCCCGTTGCTTTATCCGAGAGCACTGTCAAGGTCAGAAATGCCACTGTAAACTACACTTCTCTCCATCTCCCCGACAGCTCGGGACAGCTCCTCTGTGTGAGACTCTTGGTACTTTATCTGGTTCTTTTTGGTCAACTTTGGAGAACCTAGCTTTTTCACTCATGACTGACTGAAAGACCATAACAAAATGTTGCAAACTGCCATTTCACATACAGCACTTCAATACAGTAATCCCTCTCCTACCGCGGTAATTGCGTTCCAAGACCCACCGCTACCGCGGTAATTGCGTTCCACCGCGAAATTGGAAAAATCGCGAAGTAGAGGCGGGATAGTTATTTTATCATTTCCGTATATATTTACCCTTTACGAACCTCCTCCACAGTATTATCAACCATCCCGAGACTGTATTACTCTTTTCCACGCAATTATATACACAGTAGAATTGTGTAATGGCGACGCAGAGCGACGTGAACGAGCGCGAACAAGGAGAGACGCAACGATGCATGAGCCAATCAGCGTGAGGAACAGAAGCGCATGCTCAATTAGCCAACAGTACAGCGTGTACGTATTGTATTAGCCAATAGTATGTTGCGTACGATCTCTTCTAGGTAAACACAGCTACTAGCGATTGAATTGCAAAACGAGAAACCATATTTTTAAAGCCAAAAAACACTGTATATTTACTTTTTTTAAAAATAAAGCACAACAGTTAATATTTAAATACATTATTTGTTTTGTGTCTTTTTTTCTCCCCCTTCATTGCGTACTTATGGGACATATCAAAGTCTGTAAATGTGAAATATGAGAAAGTGCGTTTTTAAACGGTCCACAAAGGATAGTTTCAGAAAATAAAATTCACGCAAGGGTTTTGAATAATTCCTTTAATAACATTTTTCTGGTTGTGCTCTGTAGCGCGTGCACTTGTTAATAGAGTGTCAGTGTTGAACTGCCATTTCGCCCATTATTAACTATGGCCTGCGGTTAACCACACATATTAATAAACACTGCATAAAACCCGACGTATAACTTTCACGGACAAGGGTAATGAAATTCTCAGCATTATGAGCACATTATGGGAATAAGTGATGGCGCTGTTGTCTAGTTGCAGGGATTACACGGCGACCAAAAAGAAAATTAAAAAGATGAACGGGTATAGAGACTGAGATGATGATTTTTTTTTAATGAGGGAAGAGACTGGATCTAACAAAGGCACAATCTGTAGGGAATCCACTCTGTCTTTACATATAAGGCCAACCGTTTTAAGGAGCTGACAAGGGAGAGACGTTGATCTAGTGCAGAAGGTTTATTCAAAACACTTCAATTTGTGGTCGGTGGAACAGGACCAGACAGGAACAAGAACAACAACCCAACCAGGACAGAGTGAGGGAGAGCGGTGTACTGTATATACCCAGGTGACACATTAGTGAGACTAACGACCAGGTAATGACAGGACGCAGGTGAGTGTGATGACACTGATTACACAGCAGAGACAGCAGAGGGGGAAGGGTGACAGACAGACCTCACAGTTTCTCTATTTTTATTTTCGTAGTTGGGAAAGTTAAGCAGTTCATGCGCAGGATCACCTGTTTAGTTGTAACCTACACAACAACGACGACTGTATTTGTTTTGTTCTTTTAACCAGGGTCCACGTGGTCTATACACCAGGGGGGTCACCAACCTTTCTGAAACTGAGAGCTACTTCAAGGATACTTAATAATACAAAGAGCTACTTGTTTGATACAGACGTCCCGAACAATGTTATAATAATCAGTTCTGGGACCAACAATAGTAGACACTCTTCTTATCATCGTCATTGCACCCATTTGAATATCGTTACAAGTGGAACTGATTCAAAAAGCACAATAACCGTATGATGTTTGACCCTCTTGTTGACTCGTTTTATTTTTAAAAAATACCCCACAGGTACCTTAGGTAGTCCATGGGGGCTACTAGGTGACCAGGGGGTCCTCAACCTCTGGTCCATGTACCGGGTGCCGGCTCGTAGGTCATTTGGTATTGGCCTACAGTGGGACACAGTTTTACTAATTTTCAGTCATATCCCTTTACTTTTTTCATTCAAAGATAATCTGACAATGTTTCAAAACAACAGGTCATTCAGACTCTGATACTAACAGAAGAAAGTCTAGAAGAGGTTTGAACATTTTAATGATGCTGACATACCAGGCCTTGGTACAAAAAAGGTTTGGGACCTCTAACCTAGATGTCCAGCTGGATCTCTTGGATGTGTTTCTTTCAAACAGCCATTGAAAATACATACATATTCATTTTTAAGACGCCTGTCTGGGGTGACAGATTTTTTTGTGGGAAGTAATCAGTGGTGTGGTTTTATTTCACGTGTGTAGTTGGTATTTTATCGTCTGATCTGCATGTACTGTAAACTTCTACAAAGTGATACCATATACACCGGCTTCGACAGCAAGATCACCAGGTTGGATTTGTAATTTTCATTTCAAGTATAATTATGTGACCCGATGATAGCAGCTTTTTAAGGTGCGCTCTGTGTCTTTAAACAGGCCCCTAGACCTGAGCATCATAAAGCAATACAAGATGGATAGAAGGATGCGAGATTATTTTGTGCAAATCACCCAGAAGTAGAAAGTGACATGTTTTATTATTGGAATACTTTCTAAGTTAAATTTCATGTGCTTCATAAAATCCTGTGGGTCTCACAGCCTGATCATTTTACTGGCACTGCTCTAAATCTTCGACGTTGTGAAAAACCCTTTTCTCATTTTACGCTGTTTTATCAATTTACCCGTATCTCTTGACTACACCGTTTTGTCACTGAAAACATTTTTGTTTTTCTGGTTGTTGTTTTTCTTTTTAAATGTAAGTTTTTGTACATTTTTAAAACTTTTTTTAAGGAGTTTTAAGACCATTATCATCATCTTCATCAACCTGGAGAATTTGAAACTAAGAGGGTTTTATTCTATATATGTTGGACTTCTATTATAATAATTAATAATAAATGAAGAAATAAATAATAATAATAATAATAGGTACAACGTAACACACAAACACTCAAAAAAATGTTTATTGAATTATAGTTTAGATTAAGAAAGTGCATTCAAAACATTACTTGCATGTTTTTTTTTTATAATCTCTAAACAATCTACCAACCCAGCAACCTCTTGGAACGACAGAAACCCACGACAGACAGAAACAGGAAGTCATAAACAAACTGATACAAGAACAAAGAAAACAAAAATAGTGCAAATCAAAACTGCATGTCAGCCTTTACAATGTAATTTGTATCTTTATAGTTGTAATAAATCAGTGGTATGTGTAACATACAAGAGTAAAGTCGTAATTAATACAGAATTCCAAAATAAACTGAATGATATGACATTATGATATTATGATTCTAGAACTGGGGTGTCAAATTAATTTTGGTTCACGGGCCGCATACAACCTAATTAGATGCCAAGTGGGCCGGACCAGTACAATTATAACATAGTTAACTATTAATAACAAGTGAAGTTAAGTCCATGTTTTTCCCCTTTGTTTTAATGCAGTAACCATATATCAGATACTATTATGATTTATTCATATTTAATTAAATATAATTTTACAAAATATATTTTGTAATATATATCTATTTTTTTTTTCTTTCCAAAATTCATCAAGCAGGCCGGATTGAAGACCCTAGCGGGCCAGTTTTTGCCCACGAGCCGTATGTTTGACACCCCTGTTCGATGAAAATAAGAAACTTCATCTAAAGAAAAAAAAAAAAAAATCACCCTATTCTGTTGATTGAAAATACAAAGCAGAGCAATTATTTTGCAGCGGAAATGCCAAAGCCAGTCTCTTTCTAGTTCTTACAGGAAATAAGAACCCCTACCTCACCGCCGTCTCCTTTCACCATTTGCTCTGCCGCAGCGTAAATGAAGATAAAATTGCCTACGTTTGAGTCTACAAGCCGAGCAGCTGGTACGTCTCTGAAGTAATTATTTCCCCAGCTGTTGTCGTATCCAAATGGTTATTTTATTATGATTTTGTCCTCCCTAAATTCCACAAATATCCATGACACAATTTTGATTTTTCTTCAACTGTCTCCTCATTTTCTGGACTTTGTAGACGGGCTTATTCTTCCATCTGCTTACCCAGTCACACCAGGGGGTGTTTGTCTTCGCAGGAAGAAGGCAGGCTCTCTGAACTGCTTTTGTAGATAGGCTTCTTCTGAGAGTGGTCATCTCTGAGGAGGGAGAAGGACGGACAGAGAATAATGATCAATAAGATATTAACCAATGTGTAACAGTGTTCAAGTGGCTGATTTGAAAGCAAACATCTCCATGCCGGGATCTCGGTTTTTCCCTTGGCTGGGTCTTAATAGCTCTGCGTGAAAATGGCATGTCTCAAACATGACATAAAAAAAAAAAAAAAATTATGTAATACACATACTACTCAAATGATTAAAACTGAGTCTGAACATATATTTTTTAAATTGCATATGTGTGGGATATATATTCATCCTTTACCACCACACTCATAATTAAAAAACAACAACAACAACAACAACAACAAAAAAACAAGCTCTGTTCCATGTAAATACTGTACAGTTTGTTAAGTTAATTTGTTACTGGTTATTGGTTATCTGTTGAGTAGAAAGTTTTTATGTTGATATAATAAAGTGGATTTTTTTTTCAGGATCATTATATGCTTCTAGTCGTTTGTATACAGCACAAAGTAAGTACAGCTAAACCATTGCTATCCTGTGAATGCAACACAAAAAAACCCAACATTTTTGTACCATTGTTTTTATTTTATTTTTTTGCCCACTGTTGAGGAATTAAAAGACTAAAATCCAGTAAACTAAAAAATGTCAACTAAGATTATATCGTGTTTACATTTTATCCCACTTGTGCACATTAGCTGCTGTTAATCCACCTAATCGATGGGACTTGCGAGGACTTATTGTTGCCCTTACTGTGACTTATGTACTGGCAGCCAAGTGAACCTTGGCTTGGTGCTAATATGACACGATCGTGTCCAATGATCAGAGAGCGTCTGGCATGTAGTCAGTAAAGTAACACAGTCCAGTCAGATTGGACCTGTCGATGTCCAAAATAATAAAACAGAATTTATCAGATCAAAGCCGTACATTTATGAGAATAAAGTCGTAACGTTACGAGTAAAAAAAAAAAAAAAAGTCGTAAATTTGTGGGGAAAAAATTTACAACGTTACGACAAAAACGTAATAAATGTACGGGAATAAAGTCATAAATCTGCGAGATTGAATTCCCGAGAGTAAATGTGATGTTCTTTGGAGAAGGTGAGCGCACCGCGTTAACCATGCTCTGTCAGATTGGAAAATGTTGTATTGGAAAATGAGCATCTTTTAAAGTTAGTTGTCGTGGGTCATCAGCCTCACATCGTACGCTAATAAGCATCAGGATAAACAGTTGTGGAGAGATTTTTCAATCGTACGAAATCAAAAACTTCTGTTATTCACCAAGGTAAACAGGTGGTTTTAATGAGGTTCGCGCGAAGACTGCTATTACGACTTCATCGTCATGGATTTGTGATTTTAATTTACTTAGATTTACAACACGAGTCTCTTAATTCACGACCTTTTTCTCATAACAATACGACTTTATTCTCAAACTTGCGACTTTACTCCCCTGATTTTATCTTAATTTTTTGTGCGTTTGAACACATAAATCAATGCAAACCACTAAATATGACCTTCCCCTCAAAACGTGCACTTGAAATACTCCAATACAGGCACATTAGAAGTATATCATGAAAATATGAAAATATTCATGAACTTGAAGTGTTTGTGCATTTTTTTTTTCAACTTTCCAAATTCATCAATCGGGTCACCCGGTTTTGGCCCGCAGGCCTTACGTTTAACAACCCCGATCTAACCCACGCCCATACTTTCGGTCGCAGGCATTGAAAAGTGATTAAAGACAAGGGTCTCAATGAATAAGGAAAGAGTTGGTCTATAGCGAAGACACACACAAACACCGAGGCTGTGGTTTCTTACATGGGTCCTTTGATGGTCCTGGCTCGCTTGGCCCTGCGGCAAAGAAACACAGTCATGGACAGAAGGAGGACCAGGAGAGCCGCCACAGACGCTGAGGTCATCAGAATGAGACGGCCATCGGTGGACTGGTACCAGGGGGCGTCCTCTGCGGGACAGATGAGTTGGACATGAAGGAACACATGCATCACATGGAATGCGAAATCGGCTGAACTAACAGTCTGCTTCTTCCTGCCTCGGGGCGTTTCATCAGAGCTTTCTGTTTGCTGGAGGATGAAGAGGGGAGATGTCTGGAGTTCAGACATCTTCAGTTTTTGACAATCTTCCCAATCTTCAACTTGTCTGTCTTTGATCATGTGATAATTCTGACACGTAATTCCTCAAAGGGACACCTTGTGAATATAGATAAGGCAACGTTTGGGTTGTGCCCCCTTGTTTTAATTTTTTTCATTGAAATGATGTTGTCTTACATCTTTGTCTTAACATTAATAATGTTTGGGGTTTCTTTTGAGGTTTTCCTACAATTAGAAGTGACTTCAATATCAATGATGTTTAACGGAACAACTGAAACTGCCACTACACACATGGATTTGGCTCTGTGAACAGTGCTGGACTATAAACTATGTCAATGGAACCGATCACAATGGCTGACCAATCGCAGCGCAGCCTAGCACTTTGTTATTAGAGTTTCATTGAAATTCAATCCTTTGATTGGGGTTGCACCCATCCTCAAATAAAGTGTTTGTTTTGTTACGTTTTGCACAGTTAACTATACAGAGGCCTCCCACTATGGTTGACGATAAAATGTCATACCATGAAATATAATAAAAATGATATTAATAATAATAATAAGAATAAGAATAAGCAGAATAATGATGATAATAATAACAATAATAATAATAATAATGATATTAATAATAATAATAATCATAATCATAATAGTCCCTTATTTGTGCCAAAATGGTTACATTTACAATGTGAGTCTTTGCTACCGACCATTAAGTACGTGGTTGCAACTCACAGCACATATAAATGATTATAAATAATATCGTCCATAATAATAATGACAACAATTATAAGGAAATTACACAAAAAATTACATAATCAAGATATATGAATACCAAAATATAACTATAAGAACAAAAACAAATCAACAAAAAAATATATATATTACACAAAACCATAACACACAAAACACATGATTAAAGATTACGTTATTACTCTTCCCTTGAGGTGTTTTGCAGTAGGTGTAGTCTATGCGTGTGTGTGTAGAGATAAAACTGTTTGTGCTGTTTCCGAGCAGACTCTCAGAGTATCAGAAGTGACAAACTGAGCAACGTTTGCTCGCCAGATATTCAAGGGTGAACAAACATTACGTTTCAGCATCTGGAAATTATTGCCATTTTAATTAGTACACGTGCTCCAGAGAAGACTGTGGAGGCAGTGGTGGAGCCTGTTGACCAATGAGTCAATTGCAGCAGTAATGAAACAACTTTAGCATAATAAATACCACGCATTGGCTTAATTGCATTTTTCTTTTTGAGCTGGTGTAATTTCGGTGATTGAAATCACAAGGCTTATGAATATTGCCGGGTGAAAGGGGGGGGGTGTTTGAAAGCTACATTGCATTAACAAAGCAGTCATCTTACAGGTCACTGAAAAAGATAATGAAAATTGATGAAGAGCAATAAATTAGATTAGCTACCTAACCTTGTAATGAAATAAGTCTTGCGTGTGCTCAACTGCAACATTCTTGTGTTGAGAGAGAAAAAGAAAGAAGGTTGGTTTGCCATACACAGTCAGACAAATGGGGCACAGAGGAGGAACGATCTGAGTGTTTCTTTACCATAAATGCATCACATGTCAAAGCACATGCCTAATGTCTTTTTAGATAGATAGATAGATTGATGATGGATGGATGATGGATGGATGGATGGATGGATGGATGATAGATAGATAGATAGATAGATGATGGATAGATGGATGGATGGATAGATGGATGGATGGATGGATGGATGGATGGACGGACGGATGGATGGACGGATGGATGGACAGATAGATAGATGGATGGATAGATGGATGGATGATGGATGGATGGATGGATGGATGGATGGACGGACGGATGGATGGACGGATGGATGGACAGATAGATAGATGGATGGATGGATGGATGGACAGACAGACAGACAGACAGACAGACAGACAGATAGATAGATAGATAGATGGATAGATAGATAGAAATGCAAGCATTAAATTAAATTCAAAATTGCGCATTAAATCGATGCTGATTGAAAATATTCTAAGCAGTTAGTCCCATCTCTTGTGTCTGTGTGCTCCCGTGAAATGCAAGCATTAAATTAAATTAAAAATTGATTGAAAACGTTCTAAGCAGTTAGTCCCATCTCTTGTGCCCTACCCAGGTATTCACTTCCTGACTTTCTGTGTCCACACATGTTGCACTTGTCTCTGCCTCCCTTGTTTCTCACAACAATCATTGCCTAATCCTCCGGATCTGTTTTGTTGACTCATACCTTTTCTGAACAAATAAGCCTGTGCTTTTTCTTTCCTTTCCTTAACTGTACTTCCAGTAAACTCAGAACCAGAACAATCTCCAGTCTTGTGTCAGTTGTCGCATGTTTGACCTTTTACTTTGTTTAAACCACATTTTTGACTCCTTAGCCTTAACCTCACTAGCATTTCTTGGAAATGACCCTTGTCCTTTTTTTGGAACATGTTTTTGTTTGACTGTTTCCGGATTCAATACCACCACTCAAATTTCTGCAATGGACTCCTGTCTTATGTACCTCTCCATTACCCATAATAATAATAATAATGATAATAATAATAATAATAATAATAATAATAATAATAATAATAATAATAATAATAATAATAATAATAATAATAATAATAATAATAATAATAATAATAATAATAATAATAATAATAATAATAATAATAATAATAATAATAATAATAATAATAATAATAATAAAGATATGTAATAACATGTTATATGTGTGACAACAAATATTTGGCAAGAATTCAAAATCTTACCTTCCAGCACAATAATTTTGACGGAGGATTTTTTGCTCAGAGACTCAACGAGAGGATGCTGGGCCGTGCAACTGTATTGTCCTTCGTCTGCCTTGCTCACTTTCCTCAACATCATTGTTGCTGAAGGGAGGTTCCAGTCGCTGCCCTGACGTACAATAAGAGAGATAAATGACAGAAAGGGACAGTTAAACCAATATAAATAAGAGCCACTAGTAGGAGCAATGTTTTCCTTCACTGGGCTGCCTGGTGATCATTGAGACAAATTGGTTGAAATGTCATGCCACTGACATCAAATGAGAGATGGATGAAAAAAAAAACAAGGACTGGTAAAAGAGGAGATAGAGGAAAGTAAAACGGCATGTCTGTTATTTTTGACAAGTGTGAAGTAAAGTAAAATGATGGGTTTTTTTTTAAGATAGCGCAACAAAGACCGGAGGCAATATACAGATGTTTTTTTTAAGCGCAACAAAGACCGGAGGCAATATACATTATAAAAATAAAAAGGGAAAATGTAATGACTGGTCAGAGGGCCCGAAACGATTTAGAAACATTGCATCCTGTTTTCTCTATAAATAAAAAAATAGTTCATAAAAACAAGGTGATACTTTTAAGATCTGTTCTGTAAATATACAGATGGATACATTGATCTGGATCTGTAAGCTTTCATTCACTGCAGATGTCCATATTGAAAGTAAAAACCCCCGGACGTTTATCAGAAGTCAGGAAATGTGGCTTAGTGGTTAAGGAAGCGGACTTGGGTCTGGAAGGTTTCAGGTTTGAGTCCACCAGCTGCCAAAGTTACCGCTGAGGTGAAAATTTGATGCTCAACGTCAGCTTATGATGTCACCTTAGTTTCTTTTGGAAGCAGCCGTCATCTACTTCCTGGGCTGTGCTTGGCAATGACGGTCTTAGTTAATACAGTCGGTTGGTAAAATGTCATTCTCATTGACGTTGTTGGTGAGACAATGGCAGAAAGAGAGATTAATATGCTTTAAGGCTGTTGATTACCTGGACTGTGATGCTAATAAACAAACAAAAACCAACACAAGTCAATAACCTAGATCATGCCACAACAACACATAGCAAAATGGCGAGGGGAAGGAGATGGAAGGAGCTTGTACCAAAACAGCAGCACTGTGAGTGGACCAGGCTGACTTTGGCAGGAAACAAATAATAGGACAAACACAAGGATTAGAAAACAAACAAAATGAAGAACAGAATGCAAAAAAAAAAGACATTACACTGTGCAAATGAGTTGGCTCCTGAGAGCTACAGTGTCTGCCAAGAAAAGACCATTTCAATTTGAATGGATCTGAATTAAGAGGATTTCTTATAAAGGACAGGTTTGGCAAAAAAAAAAAAAAAAAAAAACGGATTTTGAATGTGCTGGCTTCCCATGTGGTGGCCTGTATTTGCTGTCATTACCAGAGGCCAATGTGTCCTTGTCTGTCAAAATTGTATGTTTTGACACCGGATCCTGCACTGTATCTATTCTCTCCAAACAGGCGGAAACACACTCCCATCAAACAGCCCGCTGCCTCGGAAATGTCACTCTGCTTTTCAAAGGTTTCCTGACTTATGTAAATTTGTCAGGGGATGTGGTGACAAGTAAATCACCGGTGCCGGTGTGGTAATGATTCCAGGTAACTGACCTGTCACTCATGCTCAGAACAACTGTTGCTCTCCGTCAAAATAACGATGACATAAAGCCAGAGAAATACAGGAAGTTAGGTAGACAAGAGACACTCACGCTGCATACATGCATGTTGTACTGGAGTAGCTCTAACTAACTGTCTCTGCAAACCTACAGTGCTAGAAAAATATGTAAGGAATTTTACAATGTATTTTCTTACTTTTATTGACTATCCAATAATAAAATATAATATAATAATTTAAAAAAATAATATTTACTAATAAATAATATAAATTCGATTTTTGTCCTCCTTATTTTCCCTCCAATTTCCTGAGGCTGCTCTAGCGCCCCCGGCTGAACGAAGCTGTTTGATCATGACGATGGTAAGAAGAGTGTCTACTATTGTATGTCCCAGAACTAGTTATTATTACATTGTTCTGGAAGTCTGTATCAAAACAAGTAGCTCTTTGTATTATTAAGTGTCCTTGAAGTATCTCTCAGTTTCAAAAATCTTGGTGACCCCTGGTAAGGATGTACCCTGACCTTGCCTGGGATTGATTCCAGCTTCCCTTGCAACCCAGAAAAGAACTGAGGGATAGAGGTGAATGAATAAAACATTTCCTTCCTGTAAAGCTGTGTAAATTTGCTCTCTTCCAGCAGTACAAAGAATCTCCTGCAGTTTTTATACCTACATACTGTACCAGAAGTTGCCCTCACCCTTTAACAGGTGCAAATACCTGCCCATGGGCCAAGTTTGTATCAGAACAACGGAGTAAATGTAGCGGGGGGGGGGGGGGGGTTCTGCCTGTTACCATGATGTCCTCACAGTTACACTATCTATGTTAGTGTAGCAGTTCTCTTGTTTTTATATTTTTAGTATTATCACAGTACAATCTTAAACCAAGATGTCTTAGTTTTCCTTAGGCAACGCTTAATTTGCTCGGAGGACAGCAGAGCTGAATAATTAAACTGCTGGTTAACCGAACACAAAAAGAATCATTACAAATCTTTCTCCATGATTGTTCTCAGGCTGAATGGCCTTTGTCTGGACTGCATTAAACTATTAATCCCCCAAACACCAAACAGGTGAGCTTCGGTCTCTAGCTAGAGTCTTTGTCACCCTGGTGCTTCAACTGTAGAGCAGAAAGGGAAAGCAGGGACAGGACAGCAGGAAATGAATGGCTCAAAGAAGTCAGCAGGGTGTTTATTAAAGGAGAGAATGGAGAGCCAAGAGAATGCTTCAACAATTCAAAGAGAGGCGAGAAAACGAGGGAATAAAATATTTTAAAAAAAAGGAGAATTGGGTTTTGGACTAACAGCATAATGAAGACACCAACTGTGCTCTGCACTAACAGTGTCTCACCTCCTTGTTCCAAAAGTAGCTTGGCTCCTCTGATGAACGGGCGGAACACGTAAGGACCACATCGTCACCAGGACGCACGCTCAGCTCCTTTGGGATGCCCAGGTACTTGGTGTAGCCTTCCTTCGATAGGGTCAAGTCGGACATGACTGGAACGAAAGAGAGACTTAACAAAAAAACTAAACTCAAATTACAAGTAATGACATGTTTTTTTTTTTTTTAGTGTTGTCCTTCCATATGTGGTAGAAACCAGCATGCGATAACTCAAAACGATCGGGTGATGGCGGATGCACCAATGCCGATTAGCCCATTTCCCCCACAATAACAGGGAGCTGCCACCCGCGGTGCTGCCACCATCATGTCTCCTCTTCAGTTTCGAGAGCTTCCTGCAGCAGTACAGGCCAAGTATGCGTGCCTTCGAGGTGAAATGTCACGCACTTTGTCCCATTTTGCCGTGAGAATCCAAAATAGTCTGTAACAGCCTGAGTTGAGCTGAGAAGGGAGTTGGCTTATCACAAGACAATGCTTCCACTGAACTTTGCTTGGTACGCTATCACCAAGGGCGAATGGTTCACCCTTGAAAAATATGTCACAGGGTAGTACAAAAACAACACTGAGTTTGTTTTCGTAGGAATCTTGTGATTTTTCCGTCTACCCTCACACAAGAATGAGCTGTAGTTTGCTACATGTACTGTATCAGGGGTCACCAACCTTTCTGATGCTCAGAGCTACTTCAAGGGCACTCGGTAATACAAAGAGCTACTTGTTTGACACAGTCTTCCTGAAAAATATATATAATATAATAATAACTAGACCTGGGACATGCACTAGCAGACACTCTTCTTACCATCGCCATTGCACCCATTTGAATCGATTCCAAAAGCACAGTAACAGTACAATGTTTGATCCTCTTGTTGACTAATTCGATTAGGCAGTCCACGGGGGCTACCATGTGACCAGGGGGTTCCCAACCCTCGGTTCATGTACCAGGTGCCGGTTCGTAGGCCATTTGGTACTGGCTGAATTTACTTCATTGCAAAAAAAAAAAAAACAGTCATATTCCTTTACTGTAAGTACTATCATTTGAATAAGATGTTCGAAAAATGTCTTCTTTTTTTGTATAAAACTCCTGTGTCAAATGCTTCAGTAATCACAGGTAACTGCTTCTTCTTCTGGGTTTTTCAGTGACATGCTGGGTCAATTCATCTCACTGTTCCTTTACAACCATTCACACTGAAATATACCTACCAAGTACTTCATAAAAATGAGTAATGCACGGCATGTTTGCGGTGTTGGCGGGTGGCCTAAACTTTACATCTGTTGAGGTTATTTAAATGTACTGTACTGTACAGGCTCAACTAGGAATGCCCCCAGCGGCACAGGCCGTTCTGGGCAATCAATAGCAATGATAATAGGCTTCATCTCATCAGAGTCTTTAGAGAGGCACTGTGGTGAATAATGGCTCCTTTTCTCTTCCATCTCAATAAATGCTCCTCATCCACCCGACTCTTGGCTTCTCCCCTCCACTGTCCAGTTTAGTTCTTCTGTCCTTTTTAATCTATTGTCTCTTATCGATCACGCCCCTCGCACACAAACACAGATGCACAAGTCTGAGGGGGCCGATTGAACAGCATTACTATCTGTCGATTTGACCGCCAGTGAGGAGATGGAGGACACAGAAAATATCACTCGCCATGCCTTGGATGCATTTTCACGCGGCATTCATCACGCAGTAAACTGTGCCGGGAGAAATGCAGCGTTGTTATGGTCATTAATACGCTGTTCACACTGGATCTACACCTAATTTACACCTTCCACTGTCCATCCATAGCTCTTAGCAAGTCTTAAAGTAAGGTTTGGGGATGTATGTTGTTTCTCACCTGCACTGAAGATGAACATTTAGGGGTTTGGTCTATGCTTAAAAAGTAAAACTAGTTTTTAGCGGCATGTTTTTACATTAAGAGTAAACATATATAGACTAGGGATGTCCGATATTATCTGCCCGATATTGGCATAGTTATGTAATATCTCTAAGAAAGCCTGGGTTTCGCCAAATTATGTGTGACTTAAAAATAGTTTTGGGGAAAAACGGCTGTATATAAATGTGGAAGTCACTAGATGGCAACATTGAAGCTCATTTTATGAATCTATTCTAATAATCAGAGGATTGTATGCGGAATGCATGGTGCCAGCAAATGGTACAGTGGTTTGTACAGAAAAACAAATAAATATTACCAGGCCCTTAACTTCCTTTTAATTAATTGGTTTTAGTTCTTTTTAATGGGGAAAATGTAATCTCGAAGACCCACCGTATAGACATATACCAATCTGAAAAGGTGGCAAAAGGAATAAAGGAGTCGTCATTTCTACAGACTCCCAGCAGGTGGCTCCCAAACAGTGCCCCATTATCAACCCAGGCAACACTCACATTCCACTTTGAGGGCCCACGGTTCAGAGGCGTTGTTTGGCGCTGTCACATTTTCAGCTTCAGACACACAGCGATACATAGACATACGGTAGGAGTATGCTCTGAGGCGCAGGACCAAACGTTCAGATGTCCGATAAACCACAAGGGCGCAAAACGTAGATCTTTCATACACCTCAAACCAAATGGAGCCCTCCTAAAAAAAAAAAAAAAAAAAAAAAAGAGAAGAGAAAGAAAATGATCTGATGTTCACAGATTAATTCTCCTCAGTTTGACCTGGGCCAACCTAGGGAAATGTTATCTTAACATCTTAACAATATTAAAATAGTACATTGTCACGATGACAGGCATGTTTACAGAAGGAAGGGTTTTTTTTTATTAACAGACATGGGAAAACCATATTAAAATAGTACAATGTCACGACGACAGGCATGTTTACAGAAGGAAGGGGTTTTTTTTATTAACAGACATGGGAAAACACCTTTAAAAGCTTGGCAGGGGAAATCTCATTACAGGATCCGGTGTTAGTTTGGTGTGTGCTGGTGAGAATATGCCTCACCACAGAGAGGGAAGTCTGCCTTTCTCTACTTAGGTAGAAAATGGGTGGATTGATAGTAGCACTGAATTGTTGACAATAGGCTGCAACAAAGTTAGTTCGTAGCTTAGCAAGATTAGCTCGCGCCGTAATGGTTCATTGTGGCTTTTTTGTGTACATGACTCCCCGGACAAACATTTGCTATGATTGTATTTTTGTCCCAACGTCTAACAAACTAACAGCTCTGATTGGCTCTCACCATCATTTGCTCCTCCAACTGTTCCTCCGGTTTACATGGCAATTCCAGATTGCTGATTGGACTTTGTCCCTGCCTGACTTTTTTGATCTCATTTTATAAGCTGACTGTTGATTAATACATTAGATAAGCATCCCCACTTAACTTCCTAGTTTCCATTTCCATTGCATCATCATCAATTATTGTTCACTATGTACTTGACTTATGACAGAATCTATCTATCTATCTATCTATCTATCTATCTATCTATCAATAAAAAATGAGTGGGCTAATGCAATCCTGTAATGCACAAGCCATTTATTCATTGCCAGAAACTTCAAATTTAAACAGGTAAACAGGTTGATTTATCAAAGTCTTTTGCTAAATGAAGTTTTAGGATTATCATCAATTAGCAATTGATATCAACTAGACTTTAGGGAGGGATTTCATTTGTGCTAGTTCATCTAAATCCAGCATGTTTGTGTGGGGAAAATATGTGATTCATTTCTCACTGATTGAGCATCTTAAACAAACATCACTTTGTATGTTTGAACAACTGTTGCATCAGTGACAGTGACGATTTTGGGCTCAATAGTGTAGCAGCAGAGGAACTCATATATCCACTCACGTCGTAGGAGAACTCGAAGCGGACCTGGCTGATGTTGAACTCCGAGTCTGTGTACAGACACTCTATTTCGACGCTCTCTCCTGCCACCACTGACTTGGTTGGCCCTTTGATAACCAGAGTGGCTGCAAATGGACAAAGATTGCAGATTATTTTTTTACTCTGCGGGTATGACCTCCTGATGCAAGGTATCGTGTGACAAACAAGCTTTTCCAAAATGTTGATATGTTGTGTTGATAGCATTAGCTTAGACTGAGGCTCCACACCCTGTGTGCACTGAGACGAAATTTTTTTAACACATTCTTTAGACCGTCATATTCTGCATTTGCATTTCCTCCTCAACATGAATGTTAAAATCACAATCACAGGTGTGTTTGTTTGGGGATTCACACAAGCACTAACATCTAGTCATGTGACTTCCCTTCAGTGTATTGCGTAGGTTACAAAACCATTTCCCTATCTGTGTTTTGCTATGGGGTTTTTTTTGTTCTAGCCAAAAGGTTAACAACAGCCACAGAAATGAGGTTCTGCGTCACAAAAAAAACATTGATGTCCATGAAGACGGCAGGTCCTCAACAACCATGGGTTGAAATGAAGAAAAGACACATGGAGTTTAAAAGAATATTACTAAAGCATTTACAGAAACATTCATCAGGATCAATATATTCTTTTCTATCTCAACCCTACCTGCAACCTGATATAATCAGTGGTTGGTCCACATCAAGATGTCTGACCTTGACAAAGTATTTTCTAACAGAATTGACAGTAAAGTATCAAAAATGAGAATACCCACAACCAGACAACACCTTGTTACACAGTAACAGTATGACTATAAACAAGGAAGAAAAACATCAGAGGGAGACTGAAGGTCTTATTCGATCGCTCCTTTTAATATAAAACCCCTCATGTAGAACAGCAGAGAAAACTTCTTAAAGTCAAAGCATATTTACCATGGTTTTCCTGAATCAGGACAGCCAGTGCGATGACAATAAGTATTTTCATAGTTGAACTTCTCCTGTCAATTACCAAGAACACGAGTGTGTGATTCTGCCTGCTGCAGCTTCTGATCAGAAGTGAAAATGCGCCAGTTATTTATCTCACACGACAGTGTAGGAGTGGCTTTCGTTTCTCTGTTTTTCAGGAAGTCAGGTCTTGTTCTAGTGAAAGCAGAAGAAAAGAAAGAAAACACGTCAAGTCTGTTCAGAACATCAACAACAATGTGTGGGAAGTAAAGAGAAAACTGCTGCTGCTGCTATCTGCTCCAACAATAACAAAATTAACTCCCAGCTTGTCATTTGTTCCTGTGAGCAGTCAGGCATACAATGCCAGCATTTGTTGTTGTCTTCACGTGTTGCCACACAACCCAGAAAGTCCCTGGCTTGGTAATTTAGGTCGAACGAGACAATGTTTTACGTTTCATTTTTTGTGACCTTTGATTTTTAGCTGTTAACCTGAGCTGCATGGAACAATGAACCGAAAGATACTTACTTTGTCAGACGCTTACATTCCTGCACGGGGTGCATAATTACATTTAGTCATCGTAATCTTAGAATGTTTACCGAGCCACTATAGGCCAAGTATTAAACAAACGCATTATTCATAAATGTATTTGCTTAAAATAAGATTTTGGTAGCTTTAAAAAAATAATAATAATAAAGCGGTCCTTTATGGTGGAAGTTCTTTCTACTGCAGCCATGTTTTTTGCAAATGGAAATGGGAGGTTTAGTAGGTAAATAAAGTATTTATTAACATAGAACTAAGAATAAAAAAGGAGTGTAAAGAAAGTTTCCTATAAAACTTTAGCAAAGGGAATTTAATGGAGAAGACGACGAAGAAGAAAAATCATAATTTATTTAGATAAATTAAAATTCCTAATTTTCTCATTTCTGTATAACAGAAAGAAAAGTAACCGTATATATACTTACTGTGGCCTTTAAAAAACGTCGAGAGCTTTTGCTAAAACTTCTGCTAAATCCTTCCTGCGTTCTGACCGGAAGTTGAATCCTCCATTTGCGCTGAGGGTTAATTTGGCATTTTAAACGTCCACAGTATTTTCAGATACTGTAATAAAATGTGTGTCAAATTTGTATTAGAGTAACAATTGGGATATTTTTAAATGTACAGTACGCAGGGCTCTGCCCATAGACAAAAATGCAACAAAAGTGTTAATTAAACGAACGCATTAATGCATAATTAATAGTGTTCTGCATTTTGTGATATACAAAGGAGGAAAATTGATAATGGAGTAATTTCATATAATCACCAGCAGGTAGCAGAATAGAGGCGATGTTCCACAGGAAATAGTTGTAGGTAAGGCGGAAGTGGTAAAAGGGTATCGTCCTACATTTCGCTAGCAGAGCAGAGCAGAATCGTCTTAAAATACCGTAATCCGTGGCCGACTTCGCGACTGCTTTTCCCCTGAACATGGACAGATAATAGTTAAATTACTCGGTAAGTTGGATAAGTAAATTAAAAATCGAAATCCGAAGAAGGCTTTTGCACAAACCAGACGGCTACATTAGCACGACTTTTCTACTCACAAGGGTTTATAGTTGCTATTGTTTAGCTTTTTTTTTGTTTACATTGGTGTTCTGTTTATTTTACTTATTTGTTGAAAATTATTGTCCACTGTTTTTTGAAGTAATAATAGGATGAAATCTAATGTCTCCGTGTGCAGCTAAATAGTTAGCAAACATGTTCAAAAGCCCGAGGCAATGGGTTGCAGCTGCATAAAAAACAAAACAATTTCGTGATTGAAATTAAATTCTTAAATGCCAATATATCGGTAAGATTGCATTTATATACTCCTTTTATGAAAATCAAATATTATAGTGTATTTATGGGTTTTACCATTTGAAATATAGAAATTAAACTAATTGTTACGTTGCAGCAAAAAAACGGAGGGAGTAATGTCTTCTATATTCAATCAAGGATACATGTAATACGACTGTAATTTCAATGATGTTGCACTCTGTTTTAAACTCAGTAATTTGATTTACCTAGCTGCCTACGTTTGTTTTGTTTTGTTTTTTTGTTTTTTTTTTTGTTTGTTTTTTTGTTTGTTTTTTTGTTTGTTTTTTTATTTACTACAGATGAACAGACGTGATCACATTTGACGGCCAACGATTGTGGAGTGTCGAAAAAATACAGCCACAGGGTTATTCTACACTTCTGCATCCTGTGAAATCTCTGAGACCCCTGCACTGATCTGTTGGCCACCAACATGGCTAACAGCACCGCGGCTGCTGTTAAGGTTCTAGGGGGGCCTGGTCCTGCTGGCAGGAGCAGTCCAGAAGGATCCCAGGTCAGTCCTTTCTTTACTAAATTTCCACTTGTACTTCAGTGATGTTGTGTCCTTCTTTATTGTGTATACGGATTGTTTTCTATTTATGATTTAAATTCAGAGCTCATTGAGACTTTTTCTTGATGACTGAATCAAATGAACGTATATCATTCTTGATCCAGGTGCTTAGTAAAAAGAAACTCCAAGACCTGGTAAGAGAGATCGATCCGAACGAGCAGCTGGATGAAGACGTGGAAGAGGTCTGTGTATTTGACTGCTGACCATTTATTATTTATTCATCGTCAGTTTTATTTTTTTTAGCCTTTAGACTTGATAAAAACCGCAGCAAAATTAAAACTTAATAAATTGTTTGTTCTTGCTCCCAGATGCTGTTACAAATTGCAGATGACTTTATAGAGAGTGTAGTGACTGCTGCCTGTCAGTTGGCACGTCATCGCAAGTCGAACACCCTGGAGGTGAAGGATGTTCAGTTACATCTCGGTAAGCTTACTCATCATTTCCAAATTTGTACGTGAGTTGTTTTCATACTTCATTGCAACTATTACAAATACCATGGTATGTGCTTTCAACTTTGCAACTTTTAAAAAGCTTTTTAGTGATAGGAATTTCGAAAACTAACCAATAGTTTTTTTTCAAGAATAATTCCGGGATCATTCTTCTGACTGCTTTATATAGTTTGTCGGAACTCTCGCACTATACCAGGAATGGGCAAACTAAGGCCCCAGGGGCTGGATGCGGCCCGTTTAGCTTTTTAATCCGGCCCGCCAAACTTTTACAAATCATATAATTTATTTATATTATATTATTATACAAGAAACTCTTACAATCAAAAGCTGATTGGTTCACTTAGGCAAACAAAGATCAGCATACATAGCCAGTCCTCGCATTCTCTCTGTGGCGTTAAAGCAGTACTTCTCAAATAGCGGGGGGCCGTGAAGGGGTTTCCAATGGAATATGGCAGGCTGGACATAAGTGTACCACTGCTGTAATACTTGAATGATAACAAGCCTCCAGTCACTAGGTGGCAGCAACTCATACAGTTTACGGTTTGTACAGATAAAAATATACATGTTGTCAAGTTCTCAATAGTATTTCAGTTTGCGGGAGTGTGGGTCGGGGTGAAAACATTTCTTTCTCCAAGGAGGAAAGTGGGCATGACAGAAATTGAACTGAAAACCACTATGCAAAAGTCCCTTTGGCTCACATGAACATTCTTGCTTGGTTTCTCAGTTCCTTTTTTATTGCAATTTTGAGGTCACACTCAAATTCCTGTTAATATGCTGGGAGTTTCATTTCAGAACACACACACAAAAAAAATCTATACTAGTGTAGATTGTTTAGTAAAATTCTCAAATTGTGTTTTTTTTTTTTCCTGTGCTGCAGAGCGACAATGGAACATGTGGATTCCTGGTTATGGCTCAGATGAGATTCGACCGTTCAAGAAGGCTTGTACCACAGAGGCTCACAAACAGGTGGGTGGCAGTAGTGTTACTGTCAAGTAGGGATGGCTCAATCCGATTGGTCAAATTATTTAAATTATTTAAAAAAAACAACCGTAGCCTGTCCGATCCTATACCTAAGCCCGAATGCTCAACTTAACTTTGCGAGACATTCTGTAAACAGGTGCACTATTGGCAATATAGGCAACAGCAGCCTGTGGCATGCTGAAGGAGAACAGAAGGTATCGGATTGATATCGGTAACAGCAGATACTCCAAGTTGCGGTGTCGGGACATGAAAAAGTTGTATCGAGCCATCCCTACTGTTAAAATGTATTCCAGTAAATCAAATGTTTTGTTTTTAATTTAAATAACATATTCGTGTCTTTTTCCAGAGAATGGCGCTGATCCGTAAAACGACCAAAAAATAACAGGACTGTACTTCGTCGCGTAGAACACGCTTTTTATTGTAAACAGGATTATTTGGACAAACGGAATCAAGGAAGGATGGGTTTGTTTTTCTTTCAACATGACTGGCGTCAAAGAAATGTATCTTTTTTTCTTTTCTGGTAACATCACACTATATTGTAGATGTCAACTTTGATTGTGTTTTGTCACTGTATTACCTTGCCAATAAATATTAATGTAGTAGATGAACTATTGTTGCATCTGTTTATGTACCACCATTATAATCTGCTCTTAATGTTTTTCTGCAAATAGTGTTTACAAATTATTCAATTTCTTTTCCTGTATAGAGTTGAATGAGGTTCAATCATTGTTGTTGATTTCTCATTTATAATGTCTAAAGAAACTTAATAAGGAAATTGTTACTTAATGTAATGACAATAAAAATCTACTAATCATAGTTTTTTTTGGTGTTTCATTTTCTAACAAGATATCAGGAAAGTGTTAACAGGTCGTGCAGGAAATGACATCACCATCGTAATGACCCGTGTTTGTGGTGCGACAGCTGAATGTTAATTACAGGTTTGTCAACCTACTGCGGTGAACAAAATTGAACAATTCCAAATAACTGAGCATGAAAGTAAAAGGTTTATTTGTAAAAAAAAGTTTGTAAAAAGTTCTGAAAAGAAACACAACTTAAATGACTTCACAATGACAGATATTTCATATATGCGAAATAATCAGAAATAAATTAATTTGTAACTTTTGACTTGTAGTCAATTAAATTATTTGGATTGGTTTTTTTTTTTGATCATTAAAAGAAAACATTTATTTTTAACTAAATGTTCGCGCATTTACCTTCTATCCTCACACCTCACCCTGGGTAGATGGCAAACCTGTAGTGTAAAGCACTGTTGACTGTTCATCAGCATTAGAAATGCACTATATAAATACAGACCATTTATCATTCAAACCTTTCTAATGGGAGAGAGTGGGAGACAACCTGGACAGTTGACCAGTCCATCACCGAGCCATAGAGACGTTCACATTTATACTTGTTGTCAATTCTGACAGTGAACAATGAACCCTAATACTGTACTGCATTATTCTGAACTGTTGGTCAAGACCAAAGACCTTGAGCCCCCCTGCCCCCTCCACATACACATACAGGGAGAGCATAAACTGCATACACCAAGACCGTCAGTAACCAATGTAAGGCATGACCTCTTACCACAATCAAGTCGTAAAAATATCTAATGTTAACACCTTGATCAAATGTAACTGTAGAGTCCTGTAACAGCCATGTCTAAAACTGCATATTAATAAAAATGTAAATAAAATATATATAATAATAATAATATATATATATTATTAATAATATAATATTCTTATTATTTACATTTTTAATGTGTGATGAAATGTTTTAAAATATATACATAAAGCCTCTGAGCCCACTGGTTATTCTAAATATTAGTTTCCCATGATGCTTTGTCTGAAACAGAAGTCCCATCATGCATCCCTGTGGCTCGAAATGAAAGAAAGAAAAAAAAGAAAAAAAAGGTTGTTGTTTTTTTGTGTCATAGTTAGTTTACATCTCGTCGGCATGAGCAGGTTTGGCCACGTCACGCTGTCTTTTTCCTGCTGCTCTGTCCACGCCGTGGGCCGGCGCTGAGCTGTTTCGTTCCTGCACTGAAATGTCGCCGTCCACATTTTCAGGGCTTTTAAATGTCTCTTCGTGAACAGCAGCAACAGCGCCCCCGTCCGCTTCCGCTCCGACCCCTTCTGATTGAATGAGAGTTGAAGAGGACAGAGACACGGTGTCCAAACCGGTCTCGCCTTCATCTGCCACAGGCTGTAAGGAGGCGGGGTCTGTCAGGATGTTTCTGGAAATAACTAGGAAAAGTAAAATTGAGATAAATACATGTTTTTGTACTGTATATATTAATAGCCGAAAGTTGGTCAAAAGAAAATTACTTGAAATAAATAAATTAATCATCAGTACATAAAATACATATTAAAATAAATATTTTGGAAGGAAATGAAAATGAAAAGTCAATTGGTTTATAAACCATTGCTTCTCCCACAAAAAAAAAGTTTTTTTATTTTTTATTTTAACACACAGAGACAATAGAGCTACCAGTCCACTGCTTCCTCCGGTGGTCAGTTTGTGTCATTGAGGGAAATCTGAACAATTCTTAGGATTTTAAACGGTTCACAAAGGTGACCTACCTCCTATGGGTCTGGAGTCACTGTCATCTGACGACGCGTCGCGTCGTAACGGACTGAAGCTCGGTAAAATGATTAGAGACAGAGAGACCAGGATGATCTAAAAAAAAAAATAAAAAAAAAATAAAAAAGAGAAGTGAAAAACTTCGCACTCGCACACTCAGACCAATTTGTGTTGCCCTCGCTTCTCACCAGTAAACAGGTGCTGGTCTGGGCTCCTTTACTGACTGTCTGTTTGATAAGAGACTGTAGCTGTCGCAGCTGAGCCAACAGAGATCTGAACAGAAAAACAAAGCAAGATAATATTAGCTGGAGTTAGACCAGGTGTGGGCAAACTTTCTGACTCACGGGCCACACTTAAAATTGAACAGAGTGGCAGCCGGGTTAGGAGCAGATAGATGGAGCGTTGGTGTGAACTAAGATAAATGTAAAAGTCTAACAATAAAGGTTAAAATGCTACAATGCTTTTATCATTTTCTACCCCATCTATTGGGGAAACATAGGAATTGCAGGGAAAAGGCAGAAGTATAATGATAATATAAATAAATTATATAATTTGGAAACGTTTGGTGGGCCGGATGAAAAAGCTGAATCGGCCGCATCTGGCCCCCGGGCCTTAGTTTGCCCATGCATGAGTTAGACTGTGATGGTATTTAGAGCAGGGTTCACCAACTATATTTCTGCCAGAAAAGTTTTGGACACCTTGGGGGCCAGACACTCAAATAAAGTAAAATGTTTTTTTTTAAATAGATTGATAAATGGCAGTGATCAATGAAAGTTTTCCAAATGTCAGTTGTTGTTTTTTTCAGTTAGGACTACCCCATATTTTCTTTAATCCTCATTATTTTGGAATCCAGTCACAGGCTAGACTGAATGGTTTGGTGGGGGCACATTTGGCCCACAGGCCACCAGTTGATAATCGCAGATTTAGTGTGAACAATTAACCTGGTAAACTTCATACAAACTTACTTATTTTAACTTGTGTAAAACTTGTTTAATGTTAGTTTGAGTCTTAAATACTAGCAAAGAAGACAAAGTAACATTAATAACATAATAATAATAATGGCAGGATCATACATGTTGTGTTTCTCCAGTCGTTCCACTGTTCTCTGCAGCTCTTTGTTCTGAGCCAAACAAGTTGCTGCCCTGTAACACAGACACACACACACACACTAGTGTAAACGTCTAATGTCTACACATGCTTCAAACATTACAAACTCGTTTTTTTTTTTTGCACCTGTTCTCCAGTCCGTCAACGTATTCTTTCCTCCTGCGGCGACTGTCCTGAGCTGACTGCTTGTTACGGATTTTCCTCCGCACTTTCTTCAAGATACGCTCTTCTGCCTGAAAGAGTGGTTTCATTACAATCAGAGCCTCGTCGGCGTGCACAGTAAATTGTGGCTCTGACCACATCCTGGTAGAACAGTGGGAGGATGGAGTAGGAAGTGTGATGGTTCTCTGGCTCTCTCCGTGGATTTAGGTACATACATGAAAGGGTAAAAAGTTCACATTTGGAGTTTCCAGACTGTGAGTGAGAGTGACTGTGTTGTGAAGTAGCTGCGAGCTGTTTTCATGTGTTTCTTGTAGGCAGACAGGCCAGAGGCTCAATCACTGATGTGGAGTAGAAGCAGGTTTGGAGGTGTTCTTACCTTGGTGAGAGGAAGGTTGTTGGGCAGAGAAATCCCCTCTTGGTACAGCAGCTTCTGTTCTTCTTCTGTCAACTGAAGCTCTGGGTACAACTACAAAACAACAGCATCAGACCTTGAGAAAATGCATAACTAATAAGATCCTTCATTCAAGTGGACGTAGACTTCTGGACGTAAAACTAACTCATGGTTGAGCAATGCCTCACCAGAGAATCCTCAGGGCTCAGAGGATCCATGACGGGCAGACTGCTGTGGTGGTGGTAGTGGTGACCAGCTGGGGTCGGAGTGTTGGCATTCGCGGAAACCACCGGCAGCTCGTTGACAACGCAGGAGTCTGAAAACAACATTTGAGAGCTCCACTCATCTGAGTAGGCCAGACAACAAAGGTGAATTAAAATAAATACAGACAAATCAAGAATACAGCTGTACACAAAAGCAGTGTAAGTCTTCAAAATTTTTTTTAGAAATGAGGCGTCATTTTATAATATGACATGCATGTTTTGACATATGTTTATTATTTTATTTTGTTTTTTTTTATTTATTTACAGTGATGATAACGGCTGTATTAAAATTGATGGTTTTACATTTTTTCTACGCTTACCATAATTAGGCAAAACGAAGCGATTTTAAAGCGTGATTCAGTTATATTTTACTAATGATAAGCATTTTTAGTAGCACATTCGATTGCCGGAAATCACATCCTCCTGTGGTTATACTTGTGGTATATTTTTTAAGATGCCTTAAGATTGAAAGATGAAGCATTTGACCATGGGAGAAAGTATTAAGGATTACAAAATATTAAGATTTCTAACTTTCTCTTCTGATCTCTGACCTGAACCAATCTAAAGACCCTCACCCAGTTCTATAGCGATGACATTCTCTTGTCCAGGTTCCGCCTTCACAGCTCGTAGTCCGCTGATGTCATAAACCACCTGGTATACAGTTGAAGGCGTCTGCTGTGCAGAGACCGGAGTCATCACCTCTGTCACCACAGCGACAGGATTCTCCGGAACGCGATCTTCAGATATACCGCTGTCGCTCTCCGACGAGGGGTCAGACACCGGCATTGGTCCGCTGGGAAACACCTCATTTGGGTCTACGCCATGGAGAACATCCTCCGAATCACTGTCCTGAAGAGCCTAAGAGAAAGTTTACTAATGAGCGCTAAGTAAAAGTTTTAAAGAACACACAGACAAAAAGGTTTACTTGACTCACACAGTCAGGGTCCACTGCCCAGTCCGGTAAGGTTTTATCCTGGCCGCTGAAGACGAACTCAGAGCAGGAGAAGGAACTATCTAACTGCCAGCTGTCAGCTTCCACACAACCGCCGAAAACCAGCTGACCACTCTCTGCATCCATGACCTGGAAATAAAAAGATGCATCCAAAACATTTTTTTTTTTAAAACCTGCACCAAAGTCCTCTGACTTGGACAATTATACATCACAGTACCCATCACATCCACTTCCGCTTTCATCATTTTAAATGTGTCCTTTTTAAAAAACCTGCACCAAAGTTCTCTGACTTGGACAATTATACATCCCAGTACCCATCACATCCACTTTCATCATTTTAAATGTGTCCTTTTTTTTTTTAGACATTATGCGTAAAAACGACCTGGTGTTGGCGACCCCTGTTCTATACAGTCTTTCATTTACAACCGGCTCTTCAAGGGGAACTGTATTGCGGATGTGGCCCCCGGTGAAAATGTGTTTGACACCCCTGGGTTAATCAAAGAGATAATTGATCATTCTAATGAATTCTAATTAATCTAATTCATTTAGAACACATTATTTAGTGACACAAACATCCAATATTAGGCAGCAGTGGACGCAGGATTTAGGCAGGAGAACAAATGTAAAACTGTGAGAACGCTAACAACAAAACAAAACAAACACTGGGACACACTCAGGAGGCGAAAAAGGACATCCTGGTAGAAAAACAAACACACACACACACACACACAGCAACTGACAGTACTAGTCTGACTGAGCAGACACCTGAGACACCTGCTCAACGTGTTTGGACTATGTAAAAAGCTAACAACTATGGCTTCCAGCACAATGAACTTGAAACATTTTACATCAAGCACCGGATATATGGAGTGTTTGCAAAAAAAAAAAAAACCCTGCAAATAAGAGTGGGTCGTGATTACTGTGGATTTAAAATGCAGTAAATTAGTCATCTGCTAATTTTGGGTCTCAGTGAATGTCTACACAAATAATTTTACACAGTAATTTTACAATACTAAACCTACTCTCACTTTAACCTGACAGAGTAGGATTTTACAACTGGAATAGTTAGTTCATAAATCAGTATTCACCATTATTTAACTTCATAATTACAGAAATGGGCTGCTATGACGTAGAAGACGATCAAATTTACGAATAATTAAATTGAGCGTATATTTGGTATTCATTTTTAAGCATCTTATTTTTCTTCGACTTCTTGACTAACTATCTTAATTAAATGTTGGTCATTTTGTGAGTAATGTATAATGTGTTAGCTATATAGCTAACTAGTGGCTTTAGTCGATACTAATTTGATCTATTTACAGGCTAAATGTACATTTATTGTAATTTGTACTCACTTCTGTGATTATCGTTTACTTTTAGGATAGTTTGTAATATATTTTGGAGATTATTTAACTAAAGTTAGCACTTTGTGCTATTCGAAACAAACTTGAGCAGTTTTAATGACTGACTTAAAACTTTTTTGTGCAGTTAGTTCTGCAGTTTGTAATGCACGTCCATGTTTTCACAGTATTCTTTTGCAGTCTTCGCAGTTATTCACGTCTACGTACCACGTAATTATAAATCAGGGCCAGGCTCTTTTGGGGTATTTATACTGTTGTTTAGGTTTAGACTGTTTTGTCATCGTTATTAAAGAAGGCTTCAAGAAAACCAGCTGAGTCTTATATATACAAAGTTAAGGGGCTTTCAGTAAACTGCAGGCCCACTGCTGCTACTGCTGCTGGACGAGCAGGATCAACAGGTGCTAATGGAACATTTTAAAACCTTAACACCTCCTCACCGTGAGTGAAAATCGGCTCCTTTCTTTTGACTCCTGTACGGCATCGAACACCAGCTACTACCGCCGCCGCAGCGCCTACGACACGTCGCTCTCCCACACGGATCTGAGCGACGGGAGCTGCGGGATCTGGAGCTTCCGGGTCCGGCTTTTACTTCAGCAACGAATCGGTATTTTTCGGCTGTTGCGTCCTATACCTCCAAGCCAGCCCGAATGACAGGAGAAACGCCTCGATCTCGTCTGTGATTGGGTCTATGTGAGCAGGCAGCGTTGTGATTGGTGAAGCGCGACATGTTCCACTTCCTGTTTACTTCAACTCTGAGAAATGTCGTAACTTTTTGATATGCAGATATTCTCTTTTTAATATTTTTGTGAACTTTTGCGTCCTTCTGATTTACTTCTTTAGCAATATTTTTTATTATATTAACTTTTTAATTAATACCTCGATAGTTGTTGTTAGTTTTCTCACATCTTATACGGCTTTTTCTCAAAACTTTCGAAACTTTTATTTTATGGTAAATAGTAGAAAAGTTTCACGTCGTCTGTCTTTCCTAACTTGGATCATTTCTATAATCTTAGTTTCTGCTATTTTCTTTGACCAAATTTTGGCTTAATTTTGTACATATTACTATGTTCATTTTTGACATTATTGACCAACCTTTTGCTCATTTCCTATATTTTAGACTTGAATGTCTACATTACTTACCATAACATTATATCCTCAAATAGGTAGTTAATAGATAGCTCGAAAAATAATGTCTGACTTCTCAACATTTGAAATTCACAACATAACCATTCGAACATTTTCAGAAATGTAGACAAACTTTCTTGAATGCAAAATTAGTATAATTATGTAAGTACGGTGTTAATATCAAGGCTGGGTATAAAGGAGTCTCCATCATAGCAGTGGAACACCATTTTGTTTAGCACTAAATAAACGTGTCAGGTAAAGTTCACTTAATTTTGTCATTCAAATGAGTAACAGTGAAACTGTGGTCAATGGTGAAGCTTCAAGAAGCATCCTGCTCAACACTTACACATAATTTGTCTCAGTAAAGTGACATTTTGTTACTGCAGATCCCACACTGGCAGCTGGTGTCACAGCTGAGGAGCCTGATAACAGAATGGTCTGCCTGCCATTCTGCATTTACACACTCCAGGAACCATAACTAGTCAGCGTTCATCTGTTAAACTGAATGTAGCCTGGTCATTTAGTGCTTTATATGTGTGGAGGAGGAGGATTTTAGAATCAAAATCTTACAGTGTATCAGTGAAGGGACAATGCAGCTGCAACAATATGGTCTTTCTTTCTAGATACTGTAATTAAACGTTCAGCATAGCTAAAGGCTTTTAACATACTTATCGGCTTACCCTGACCACAGACTAACAATCGTTCAATCTGGATGTAAAAAAAGATATGAACACATTTTTTATCATTTTTTTAACAGAAAAATATTTCATTATATTAATGTAACATGGGTCAAAGAGAAGAACATTTTTTAACAGAAAATTATTTCATTATATTAATGTAACATGGGTGGTGAAAACAGTACATGTTATAGTTATAACATATAAGGTGAATAGTATTGGACCAAGTACTGCCAAGTGGGAATCATGAACAAACTTAAATATTTTAGATAACTACGACAGGAACTATTTACTGTAAGTACAGTACCTTTGTCCTTCAGTGCTACCACGTCATGCACACTCATGAAAATACAAAGTAAACCTACGAGGCAACCCCAGTCCCACAACTTCTGAATTTAAAAGTTGTTTGCCTGGTTTTGGAGATAAAAGCGAGCCTTTCAAAACTTTGGTTTGGAAGCAGACTCAAATCCATTTATTTAGACAATATCACAAACCTCTTTTAGACTTTGGTCACTGAACTCACAACTCAGGGATTCCAGCTCCTGCTCATGTGACATTTTTAATACTGTGTGAGGAAAGGTAGAGTTTATGATCTCACGTGATGGAGACCTTTCCGTCCATCAGCAGATTTTCGTAAATAAAAAAGAACAGAGCAGAGCTGAAAGCCTTTCTTACGCTCAACTTCAACTAAAAGTTCAGGTTTAATCAGTGGCCATCATTCAAGGACCTGCTGACTGTATCAGGATTTCAGTGGAAAATCCTGGTTCCTCCCGACGGCTGCGTTATCAAGCGAGAGAAGTCGTAGCCAAATCATAGGTAGGCTTATCTTCAAATTAAAAGCACGAATTATCGTTAAATAAATAGTACATATATTGTACCCATGCTGAAGTGCAGGTACATAATACATCCTCAAAACTTTTCAAAGTCCAAATTATATACGAAAAAGTCAAAAATAACGGCACGAAAAGTAAGAAGAAAAACAGAATTTCTATTACTAACGCTAGTTCCCGCTACACATTTTCTATGGAATTAAAGGCACGACTTCGACAAGCTGTTTAAGATATTTGTTGTTTTGGAAGGCAAGACAACAATAACAACAAAAAAACTGCTGTTGGGGGTTTCTTTAAAATCTTCAACCCTCTTTAAAGTTCCTTCCACCCTCACGTCAGTCATAGCAATCGACTAACCAACTCGTTTTCACAGCATTTTACTGGGTTTCACTGTGGTGTAAGTGTTTAATTATCTCTGTATACCAAGTCAAACGTAAAAAATATTATCTCTATTATTATCTAATTATTATCTCTGTATACCAAGTCAAACGTATAGTAATGTTAACGTAAAGATTCATTAGTTGTGTATAAAACTTTAACGGGAATTATTCAAATATCTTTTGAAACTGGTGGCTTTCAACCGAAGCTTGTACTTTGATATAAACCGGAACTGAATTGTGTTTTCGGAATGTGCTTCACCAAAGCAGCTGCGTCACGAAGCAGGATCAGCTGATGGGAACTGAGTCACTTCCCGGACTCGTGCGTAAAAAAGTCAGTGAAGAGAAGAGAAGCAGCGTAAGTTATCATTCGTTTCGAGATCTATTACGGTTTACCTCTAAAACCGTACCTAACACTTTATGGTGTGCTTCTTGGATTACACTGTTTTTATGTGAACTCTGATGACTTTTGTGGACTTTAGTGTGCCAGTGTGTGCTCTACACTGTTTACCTGGACTGCACTCATCTGAGGTCACGTCTGGACTAAAGTAAGCCAAGTAAAAAAAATAAAAATAAATAATACTATGATTTTCTACAATGTTTCCACGTTTAGAAACAGTAACCGCTCTAAAGTACCGGCTCACGTGAACTCAGGAGCTGTTGGTCTACTGCTGCCTCCTGTGGTGGGTCTGTCACTGAGTTGAAGCTAATCGGAGAATTTCAAACAACGAAGTCTAAAGAATAACTTCGAACTAGGTATTGAAGGCAGCAGTGGATCACCGATGCTGTGGAACGAAAGTAAAACGACATTTGTCTCTGTGGACTTTGGTGTGGCGTAGTGCATGTACTGCAGACTTTATTTTTGCATTTCTGAAAAAAAAAAAAAATCGCCTTTATTAGAAAGCTCACGTTCGTACCTACGCGTACAGAAACAAGATTACAATGCCCCCCACCTTTTTTTTACGTTTACGTGAACTAACGATGCGTAAACGACATCCCGATACTTTCATAAGAAGTTATGACGACGACGAAGAAACAGAAAAGACGAGTTTTCAACGTGAGCGACAAGAACTGCTAATGTGTAATTTAGACTCGTTTGTTTGTTGTGTCGACAAACATTTACAGAAGAGAACGGGTGTGATAGATGTTAGCTAACAGGTAGACGCCACAGCTAAGATGTAGCCATAAATACCAAGAGTGTAACAAAGTCAATATTTATCTTGGGATTAGATACGGCAATTCAGGTTATATGTGCGTTGAAATACATGTAAACAATAATGTAATGTAAACAATAGCGGTGTTCCTAATACTGATTTGAATTGAACGGCAGTTAGATAGAATTAGTCGAATGATGGATGAAGATTAGCCTCAAATAGTAAGGAATAGTTTTAACATAACTATACATACAAATAAGTACAGGAGAAGCGATAGGATAACTGAATGACCGGTTAGAATTGGTTACCATAGTGCAGGAGTGTCAAACTCATTTTCACCAAAACAGTACAGTTCCCCATGAAGGGACGGTTGTAACTGGAAGACTGTGTAGATCGTGGGTCCCCAACCCATGGTCCGCGGACCAGTACCAGTCCGTAGGTCATTTGGTACTGGGCCACAGTGGGACACAATGAAAAAAATGTACTTAAATTTGACTAATTTACCTCATTCAAAGAAAGTCCAGTCATATCAATTTACTTTCTTTATTTAAAGATAATTCAGTTTTAAAATAATAGGTTATTCAGACTCTAATACTAACAGAATTGAAGTCTAAAAGATGTTTTATTTTGAAACTTTATTGATCCTTCAATGCTCAATGCCTTGCTACTAGTCTGTAGCTGACCAGTGCTTGGAACAAAAAAGGTTGGGGACCACTGGTACTACTATGTAACTACTCCATAACAGACTAATACATGTTTCTGCAATTGATTGATTATAAAAAATATATTACAGTATTTTTTTCAAATAATAATAATATTTTAAAATTATGATTAAAAGCACAGAATATTAAACAACTGCATTCTGTCACTGTTAAAAATATATCGAGTTCAAATAAAATGCACCAGATAAACATATCTGAGCTGGTTCATCTTGTTTGACGGCTGCGATCACCTGACTGCACAAGTGACAGCTACTGAAATCTTACTGTGGTCGCCAGAAATTTATGATGTCAAGCTAAAAAAAAAGAAAAGGGAACCACTGGTGTAGTTTAAGCGTAACGTTAAAAAGGTTATTTAAAATGAACCATAACTATATAGTAGCTCAAATATAGCCATTTAAAATTAACTATAACTATATAGTAGCTCAAATATAGCCGAATAATAGTCATGAGAAATGAATCGTTATTTAAGGGAAAGCTAAAATAAAAAAATGTTAATCGCAAAGAAAATATCCAATGCTTTCATTTATACTTTCATTAGAAATAAAAAAACCCTAACATGAACATCTCTCTTTATGTCTGTGTCTGACAGAATCCATGAATAGCATTTCCTAGGACTTGCCCATTCACCTGTCGCACCAGCAGAGGAGGCAGAGGATCAAAAGATGGCTCCCTTTTCCTCCTCCTCGCATTCGGCCTCCTCCTTCACTTCCCTTTTGTCTTCAGGCCTCATGTCCCCCGCAGGGGACTCAGCAGCGCTTGGTTTGAACCCCGCTAACATCCCAGCTCTGGACGTCAAACTGGGAGCTCTGGTTGTTCTTCTGTCTGTCACGCTGCTCTTTGGCTTTGCTCCTCTGTGCATCGTCCCTTGGGGGGGGCGCTGCAGAGTGGACCCAGGTAAGGAGCTGCTGGGGAACAAAATTCCCATTTCTGTCAATGTTCTGTTTCTATTAATGTCACAGTGGTTCTAGATCTCCCCTGTATACGAACGTCTTTCGGGGCTAAGATAAAGTCCTGCCGTGGTTCTTGCAGATTTGCGTCGCAGGCTCTTAAGTCTGATCAGCTGTTTTGCCGGAGGAGTTTTCTTGGCCACTTGTCTTTTGGACCTGCTGCCGGACTACCTAGAGGACATCAATCAGGCCTTTACCAAGGCAGGGATCTCGGTAAGAACTGACTGGCAGATCCGACCAGATCAGAACCAGAATATATTAGTTTACTTTAACATGACTTCAACATTTGACCTGGCTAAATGGGACTCAAACCAGATCTGACGTAGTCAGCTTCACAAACCTCGCCATTTGAAGGAATGATCTGCAGTCAGATGAAGGTGTTTTTTTCTTTTTTGTGTGAATCATCCTTTATCGCCTACATCAGGCAGGCAACAGTTTGGGCACCCCTGGCCTACGTCATACGTGACAAACTCTAGGCCCGGGGGCCAAATGCGGCCCGCCCAAGCTGTTTAGTGTGGCCCGCGGGAGATTAAAAAGCATTTAGTAAAGTCGACTGTTGAACGTCTAGTGTGATCCTCTTTTCTGTCTCCTTGCAGCTTCAGTTCCCTCTTCCAGAATTCATAGTGGCTATGGGCTTCTTCCTGGTCTTGGTGCTCGAGCAAATAGTCCTGACCTTCAAGGACCAGTCATTCTCCCACGTGGAGGAGCGTCGTTCTCTGTTGGTAGAATCCAGCATTCAGGCAAACGAAGGAATCCATCATCACCACCGTCGGCTGTTGAACGTCTGGTGTGATCCTCTTTTCTGTCTCCTTGCAGCTTCAGTTCCCTCTTCCAGAATTCATAGTGGCTATGGGCTTCTTCCTGGTCTTGGTGCTCGAGCAAATAGTCCTGACCTTCAAGGACCAGTCATTCTCCCACGTGGAGGAGCGTCGTTCTCTGTTGGTAGAATCCAGCATCCAGGCAAACGAAGGAATCCATCATCACCACCGTCGAGGATCGGATGATGACGACGACAGCGGTCACTTCCACGTGGACTTCAGCTCTCAGTCTGCCCTGCGGGCCTTCATTCTGGTCTTCTCCCTGTCCCTGCACTCCGTGTTCGAGGGTCTGGCTGTGGGTCTTCAGGAAGAAGGTAAGGACGTGATGGAGATCTGCCTGGCGCTGATCATCCATAAGAGCATCATCTCCTTCAGCCTGGCCTTCAAGCTGTCTCAGAGTCGTCTGCGACGCACTGTCGTGGCCGGATGCCTCCTGCTCTTCGCCGTCATGTCACCGATAGGCATCGGCCTGGGTATCTTACTGACGGACACCAGGGGGCATCCTCAGCACCAGCTGGCTCGCAGCGCCCTGGAAGGTCTGGCTGCAGGGACCTTCATCTACATCACCTTCATGGAGATTCTGCCCCATGAGCTCAGGTCCCACAAGCACCGTATGCCTAAGGTGGCCATGCTGCTGCTGGGCTTTGCCGTGGTCACAGCCGTGCTTTTTGTCAAACTGTAGCTATGGAAACACCAGATGACCATAGTTCTGTTTGACCTGACAGTCCGGATGTAAATGTTTTAAATGGACAAACTGTTTATGGGTACGAAAATACTACGTCTAGCACATCTCACAGTTTAGCTCCATTCTAGTGGCAGTGTGGTTCACTTTTAAACGGAGGGTTGGGAGTTCAATTTCTAAACTGTGTTAATCTGGCAAAGCCAGATGATAGAAGACCTTTTTCCAGAAACGTTTGTGATCTTCCTTAAGAAACTGAAAAGGTCATGTGATGCACTTATTTTAAGGAAAAGGAGGTGTTAGATTCTACAGACCAAAGATGAAGACATTCGTCCTGGATGTTATCAACCAAAGGTTTAAATTTCTGATGGTCTGGAGGACCATTAGTAGACATGATATAGATGATGCGACAAGACATTTTCTGGAAACTAATTTTGCACAAATTAAAAATCTGTGGTACCTAAACCCCGGTCTGGGGACCAGTGCCGGTCCGTAGGTCATTTGGTACCAGGACACAGTAAAAAAAAAAAAGTACTTAATTCAAAAAGAATCCAGTCATATCCCATTGAAATATAATCTGACAATGTTTCAAAAACAGTAGGTCATTCAGACAAACAGAATGAAGTCTAAAATAAATTTTATTTTGAAAATCTATCGATCCTAAAACCTGGTGATAAACCTTTTTGAAGTCTAAAAGAAGTTTTATTTTGAAAATCGATGGATCCTAAAACCTGGTGATAAACCTTTTTACAAAATAGTTGAAAGTATTTTTCTTTCTAATTTTATATGATAAAATTTATTTCGGGCTCTCCCAACTCCCAACTTTTCAAAGAGGGCCACGTTCAATGAAGTGAACATGTGAGGGCCAAACATTCTGTCTGACATACTCTGAACCATGAAATCATTTGCAATGAATTGCAAAGCAACATTTTCTGTCATTTTATGGCAAAGGCCACGGGCCTTATGAAGTTTGACCACGGGCCACGATTGGCCCCCAGGCCAGGCTTTAGACATACCTGGTTTATGTTAATGAATAAACTTTGATTGTGTGATTAGAAAGGGAACCAACTTTTCTGGAAATGGTGCCTTTGTATTTACATAACGTAATGTTGGATGACGTGTGTTTATTCTACTGAATCAGAACATTTGTTGGACTTTGCTTCACCTCCATGGTGGGGTATGGCGATCGAATATTTTCTTTGCAACCATCCATTTTTCTAGAGCTTAATGTGTTTCAGGGTGGCAGGACCAGTCCGGTCACCAGGCCACAGTTCACAGATTGAATGTTTACACCTTAGACTTTTTAGTCAAATGTTAAAATAAGTGCAGAATGTATTCTTTGTAGAATAGTTTTTTTTTTTAAAAATGTAAATATACTACAGACTTTTTAAACAGCACCACCATATACCGTGTATTTTTGAATTTTATCACCAAAGACCCTTTTATGATAAATGCTGAATGTTTGACATACGCTGTAAAGTGTTTTCTGTGATTGAAAATGAATAAATTTTTAATATTTACAACCACTTTTTTTCAAATAATTTAAACATGTTAAGAGTAGCCTACATTGAATGCGTCTCTGTTACTCGACATCAGACCTTATCGGCCTTTTAAGCAGCAGCACATGAAAATGCTGAAAACTAAAAGATTGATAATTGCTTCTTTCCTTTATTTCTATTTTCTGTGAGTGAAAGAAAAGGGACCACAGGAGGTTAGAATGATCATAAAATGATCATAAAGATGCAAAATATACAACAATTGTACAAAAACTGTCTAAAACGAATCAAACTTTGGTCACAAAGTTAACCTTTACTAAACAACATTGATTTGAAAAGTGATCCACAAATTAATATATATATATATATATATTGCAATTACGGTAAATTTGTTAACTCGTGAAAAATCCGGAAATCATTTTCAGCTGATGTATTTGCAAAACTTAACCAACAGGTGGCGCCCAGTCGCTTTTCTCTAATTGGAGCTCGTGCGGTTGACAGGATGGGTCACTCTGTCTATTTTCAAAACCGAACAAACACAAGGCCGCATTCTCCGCTCCTTTCACTTGCACATGCGCATTGTGGTGTGACCTCAGGCAAACTTTGCAGGTGAGCGGTTGTTACTATGGAGATAAGAACAAGCATGCCGGCACCCAATCACCTCTCAGTTGAGCTTTGGCTATTTTAAAAACATGGAAAAATGACAAATTAAATGAACATATAAACATATAAATGTTTATATATAAATCAACATATAAATAACAATAACCTTAATTATTATAGCGTAGTTGAGTCACATAGAAGATAAAAACATTAAATTAAGAAAATAAAGTAGTAAGTTTACGACAATAATGCCAAACACGTATAAATAAAGTTACAAATTAATGAAAATAAAGTTGTAATTTTAAATAATGTAAAGATAAAGATGAGCAAAAAAAAAATTTTTTTGCAAAAAATGTTGGTGCATCTCAAAGTTTAGATTTTAGTTTTAGATTTGGGTTCTTTATCACATCACCATCAGTATCACCATCTAAAACTTAAAAACATGTTCTCTTCTTTTATTCTTGTAATCTTATGGGTTTATTTGTGTAAATTTATGTCTTAGTGTGGCCCTTACACTCCATGGTAACTAACATTGTTTTTGGAAACCATTTTTTGAAATTGATTAATCTTTATATAACATATAATAGATGGTTAGATCATGGTAATGTATTCATTAGAAAACTTGCCTGTTAATTAGAATTATAAAAAATGTCCTGATAGTTTTACCTAATATTGACATCAAAGTAATCATGTAGGCTTTTTAAATCTTTAAATTTGAGCCACTCCGAGAATGTTGTGTGCCATTTCCATGTGAATAATAAATACTGACAATAACATATTGGCCGGTTTAAAAAAACAAATCACAGTAAGAAAAGCGTCAGAGTGTGACGTCTTGTCAATGTCGGCCCATCTTCGGGGGGGAAAAATCATTCCACTACGTCAAGTCGCTCGGTCCGCTCGGTGAAGATGTCTGCGACGGGCTCAAGTGGCTGTGGACCGGGACCCGGACCCAGCTCGGGGACCGGCTCAGGGGCCTCCAACCCGCGGAAGTTCAGCGAGAAGATAGCGCTGCACACGCAGAGGCAGGCCGAGGAGACCGCCGCTTTTCAAGAGGTGATGATGGACATCACCTCGACCAGGGTGAGTGAGGGTGAGACGGCAGCAAGAGGAGCGCAGCTGCCCGGAGGAAGAGAGGCCTTGTCTGGGCTGGTTACAGAGAATCTTCCGTACATGTGATGGCTCTTCGTAGATCAACTCTGGGGGAATATTTTAAGCAAATAAGTAGTGATAAAAATTGCAGTTGTTTACACACAAGCTTCGCTGTCGGCGGAGAAAATTGTCGCCTCTTCGTTCGTTTCCGATTGGCCGTTAGCGCTGTTAGCCAATGTTAGCTGCGGCGGCTAAACAGCTAACTTCACTTGGCTTGTTTACTATATTACGTCGTTCGCTGTCATAACACTGGAGACAACGTCCCGCGGAAGTGCATTCAAAAATATGGCACTTCAGTTTGGTCTTAAATATGATCTAAACTGGATTAAAGTATCCAACTAATTCATATATCTACAGAATTCGATACTTCTTTTGAAGACTTCGGCCGTGAAATTTGTACTGTTATGACATTTGATTTCTTTAAAACTGTGGATAGGCACCATCACAACGCACTTCGAAATGCGGTCAGAAATCTGTCATAACACTCCGCGGAAGTTCTGGTTGTAACCAGATGTTTTGGCCTGCTTCGAAGGTTTATTAACCGAAATAAATTAAGTGCGTCGTTGTTATTAACTTTGTTGATCCCATGTGTTATTATGAATATCTGACGCATAATAATAAAGGCCTTTGTATAACGAAAGTTATCATAGCACTTGATCTAAACTGTCATGAGTGAATACCCGCGGAAGTGCTTTGACAAATCTGGCATTTGATTTGATTTGTCTGTAGTATTTAAATAGACAAGATTTTAATTGATACATTTAAGTAACAAGACATGTGTCACGTAAATCAAGTTAATTATCAAGTAGTTACATTTGATATATTTTATATGGTCAGGGCAAAGGTAATTACCTTAGTATAATTTTGTTGCTAATGGTTTATATGTTTTTTTAATAACTGTATTTGATTTACTATCTTATGAGACTTAGCTATTCTACTTTTCACTTTACTTTTTTAGTTTTTTAAAGGCTAAATGTATCTACTTCTTTGGCTGGCTTGTAGTTATTTCTAGGTTATTATTATGTTTTAAAAATATAAAAAAATACATTGTTTTTGTTGGGGTTTTTTTTGCATTTGTTTACTCAATATTCTTGCCCAATTTAATGTTTTTTTTTTAAATATAAAAAAATACATTGTTTTTGTGGGTTTTTTTTGCATTAGTTTACTCAATATTCTTGCCCAATTTAACTTCATAAGAGTTTTTTAATTGTTTAATTGTTTGTTCTTATTTTGTTTACTAAAAATACAAAACCCCTCGACAAACATAGATGTTTGACTGTAGTTTCCTGTTGTGGTTATTTTTTTTAGCCATTTAGCTGCTAACTTAACTATCCATACTGACCATGTTGGACATAGAGCCACCACACATGATGCTAAAATTTGAATTTACCCATTTAAATGTTGACTCTATCATACACTGATGTCCATAGAGAAAACTGTCAATTTTAGCCTTTAATGACTGTGGAGAAATGCTGGTTTCCTATCTTATGTGCACAATTCATATAAGTAATTCTTAGAAATGAGTGAATGAGGCACGTCTGTGTTCCATGATGTAAAATCACAGCGTTTTTTTCCCCCCTAGTTAAGTGGTTTATTTCATTTTATCTAACTGCAAAAAGACAGACCTATTTTTAATATTACCACTGTCTTGAAGAAAAGTTGAATTAAAAAGAGTCTTCATTAACTTAATTCTTTGTTTTTCCAGCTCCAGGCCCAGAAGCTGCGTTTAGCCCGGAGTCAGGGTCCATACTACGGTGGCTCTTTACCCAATGTGAACCAGATCGGCAGAAGTCCTCAGGACTTCCAGGTGACCAGCATCATATCATTTTGGCATACCCACAGAAAGTCACAAAACAAATCCAGTATTTTGGAGAAATTAGTTTATATTGTTTTTGGTTTTGGACTTCTAGCTAACTTGTAGTCATTTCTGGGTTAAGTTTAAACCTTTTTTGGACCCACGTTTGACCGATTTTGCTAGATTTTCAGCTAACTATGATCGGTCAGACCTAACTATTTCTCGACATACCTTTTGATTGTTTTTCCAATTGTGATTTGTACGTGGAGAGATGGGTTTCTAACTCCTACTGTGAATTATTATTACCTTTTTTTTTTAATCACAATAACCGGAGTTCCAAAATTTGGAGTGAAATTCAAAGAACGTGCTTATTTAGATTTTGTATTAAAACTGGTTCTACGGAGTTTAAATCATAGGATTAAGGTTGAGGGAATAGAAAAAAAATTGGACTTTTTTGTAAAACTCTGGATAAACTTTTTTCAATACTGTTTAAAGTCAAATCTGAAGCTGTAGAATTTTATCCTAATCCAACCAAAAAAAGTACACCGTACCCTTCACAAAGCTTCCCGGAATACGAGTATTCCATGTTTTGAGTCTGCAACTATTGCAAGATTTTGCTCCTGATACGAGGAAACATCGAGTTACGAGTGTTGCGCTGTTTCTGTCGATCTCCAAGTACAGTTTTTACATGTGACATGTTTATCAAAGTACCATTCCGTATACTTCATGTGTATTTGTCTCTGTACACCAGGGTGCCTTTCCCTCCACTCTGGAGTCCAACCGTTCCACCAGGCATCACGGCCTGGTCGAGAGAGTCCAGAGGGACCGTCGCTTCGCCTCCCCGGGTCGGCCGTACCGCAACAGACAAGTATCCTTTCCTTAAGATGGGCCAAAATATTCACTAGGTGGTGTAGTTTTGGAGGAGTTTAAATCACCCATCATTTCCTTCAGTTTGGTACATTTCAGACAACCACCTTTGAACACTCCCCTTTAGTCCCATCCTCTGGTCTCTGACTGTTCCCAGCCGTTGTATTAGAATCCCCTCGACAAGGAATACCTGACACAGAAACAGACATAAAGTGTATGAGTTGATGTGATGTCATGAGGGAGATTTTGGTTTTCCAAGAGCAACAACACAGCTTTGTTCACAGCAAATATTTACCACACGCTGCACATCCACCTCCTCTTGAGTCGTGTCTGTAGGAAGTGATTCTTGTCTCTGGTGGAGCTGTGAGAGTAGATTTGTGTGTCGTTTGGTTGTTCTTGTTAGACCACAATCCTACGTACAGATTGAACTTGATGTCAGAAGGGGTTTTTTTTTCATCCTGGCTATAAACTGAAGCAAAAGAAAAAGGGATTCTAAAAATATTTGACAGATTAATTGTTGTCCTTTTACACATAGCTAAAAAAGGTTCCCTTAGAGTGATTTTTCATCCTTTTATTGCAACTGTACGTGAGTGTCTTTTTTTTTTCTTTTTTTTTTTAAGTCAAGCTCATGAAACAGACGCCAGAATTATATTCTAAAAAGTTTAGATTTTGGTGAACCAGAATGTCGCAATATTCTAAAAAGTTTAGATTTTGGTGAATTCCAGGGTAAAGAGTCTGAGTGAGTAAATCATGAATTTCTCGGTCAATATTTAACAGAAAATTAAAGCATAAAACCTAATTCAGAAAGTCAAATGATCTCCAAAGACGTGCCATGACCTCAAGTGCAGGGAAAGTGTTCCAATGGGAATCTTTTAAAAGATACAGTCATCATCTTCATGGATACATGGATCTGCATTAGCTTTTTTTTTTTTTTTTTTTTTTACACGTTTTTCTCCAAAGTGTTTCAAGATATTTCCTTCACCATTTGCCTGCTCAGATGGACAGCTCACAATATAACTCCGCCTACCTGTCCCCGCCCCCTGACCCCAGCTGGAGAAGGTATGTCCTCTCAACCGTCCTCCGTCCTTCTCTGCTTCCACTGTCTCGATGGAGACATGTCCGTCTGTTGGGATGCTTGTTTTTGTCGTCCGTACTCCCAATGCTCCGTAAACCTCTGTGAAGCCTCAGGTGGTTTAAAAAAAAAACAAAAAAAAAAAGGACTCAAACACACAAACAAAGAGATCAGTGTGAAAATGATGGTGGAAACATCTTTGAAGTTTGGTTTCATGTTCTATATAACGGCCCTGACTTTGTATCAGTCGTTTTTTAAAAATTAGACTGACATATTTACCCTGCCTTGCAGTAGTATTCAACACCCGTGGCAGTTTCCTCCCCCTTTTTTTTTCCTGTTTACACCGGAACTATTTTCCCCTTCGGAATCATTTTACAATACGTTACGTCTAGGGATTTCTGACAATATTATGCGACCGATGTTATCGCCCGATATTAGTATTACAATTATGTAATATCTGTAAGAATCGTTATCGGTTTTTCCTCAGATAATGTTTACTGCAGTTTTGGGGAAAATAACTGCATATATCGGTAACGATTGATATCGGAAATTAAGTGTTTGGGCAATATCGGCATATCGGATTTTGGCAAAAAGTTATATTCAATATCCGGCATTC